GCTGAGATAGGCACCCAACTCAACTCAGAAGATAAATTACCTCGGCTGAAAGCTCAAAGTTCAGCTATTTTACCACATACAAAACAGTCTGTTTGAGGACTTTGGAGGTCCAGAACTACGTCAGTATCTGGTGTAGTAGAGAGGAGTGAGACACGGATAGGGGCCATCAATGCATTGTTCTCTCTTTTGTATACACTTGGGTATTTTGGGCAGAGTGAGTTAGGTGGTGAACTCTTAGTAAAGTTTTGGATTTATTTAACACAATGAACCTGGGATTATATTAACTTGTCAGAAAGAATGGTATATTTCAGTTTAGAAGGTATAAAATAGCTGCATAACATACTGTGTATGTATCCATTATAAACAGTTGTCTAGCAAAGTGGCTGATGTGTCAGGTAGTGCATCAACACTAAATGAAATTAAATCAAATCTCGTCTTTTCTGAGGAGCAAAAGTAAGATTTGATTCGACAGGGTGCTTACAGGTTAGAGCTAGTGCTATGGCATCATGCGATACCCCTATTTATAAAGAGTACAGGGAAGACATTTATAAAACAAAGTGAGGGAAATGTCATATTTAATCCTTTTCTTGCAGATAGATTTTCAGCTGAGAAAGTGCCACATCGGGTCCAAATAGTGAGCTTCTTTCAGGATCAGGTTGATAAAAGTAGTAGTAAGAAGTATTATGCTAGAATACTCAAGGCTGCACTCAGGGGAACAGGAAACTAGATGGTACTGACAATGTATTACACCACATACTCAGAATCCTCCCCACTGATTCCATCTTTTTCTGATTTCTATATCACTGCAGGCAGCCTTGCCTGTTTTTGCCTATTAAGGTCCAATTTCCTGCATTTCGTGCACTGTTAACCTCCTCAGCCTTAATAGTCAGAGGCTGGTGCTGTGTTGTAAAGCTTGCTGTTGATTATGTTTCTGGGACACCATCGGGGCTCTTTGACAGAGGCCATTATGGGGTAAAATTACTGAAATGGATTATCAGGTATATGCTTCTAGCTGTGTTGTAAAAAATGGCAAAAAAGAATGTGCTTGATAAGTCTGCAGTATTGTAAAGAAAATTGTCCTCCTATTCCTGTTCCATCCTGTAATTTATAATGCAAAAAGAGAAAATAAATAGTTAATATGACTGAAAGAGCTTCCTTTAAAATATGCATATTGGACAAAATGCAAAGAGAATCAGTATTGTTCTTACAAATGGAACTCAAATAATCCTGAACAATTCACATACAAGCATAGAGCGTCTATGCAGTGCAACCAGCAAGTTCATTTTAAGTTAGGTTGAATGCTCACACAACAAATCCCTTCCTGCATTACGATTCCAAAAAGCTGCTATAGATTGATTAAGTAAAAGAATCACTTTGTTCTGAGCAAACTGCATTACAAAAACTGCAGCACTAAAAAACACTACACTGTAAACTACACTGCATGGGTGCCCGGATAGCTCAGTGGGTAGAGCTGGTGACCCATGTACCAAGGCTGAGTCCTTGCTGCCGCAGCCCAGGGTTCGAATCTGACCTGCGGCCCTTTGCTGCGTGTCATCCCCTGTCTCTACCCCCCTTTCCTGTCTATCTTCACCTGTCACTATAATAAAAGCCCCCCCAAAAATATACTTAAATAAACTACACTGTTAAAGGTATCATGAGATTTTTTACTATTGTTGACTACTAGTGCCATTGTTGCTATAGTTGTCTCTCTATGGTTTGGTTACATTGTCGGTCTGCTTCGTGTGCAGCTGAGGAGCAAGTGAAACTGCTGTTTTTCTCTTCTATGTTGGTGAATTAAAGGATTTATTTCGAGTTTTCAAACCAGAGTTGGTGATTGTTGGAACAGTGGAAAGACTAACAAAGACGGTTTGATGAGTTTTATTTTGTTTCAGTCCAGTTTTAAGTGTGTTTTCAGATTATCTGCTCGGTAAAATTATCGTTTTCGTCAATAGAGACTGGTCGGCCATAAAGCCCATTGTTTTGTTCTGTGATGCAAGTGGCAAATTAATTTTGAGTATATCACCTTTAAGGATGCACAAAATGTTTGTGTGTGTGTGTGTGTGTGTGTGTGTGTGTGTGTGTGTGTGTGTGAAATGCTGAAAGTAAACAATATAATTATTTTTCAAACGAAAAATCATTAAGCACCTTTAAGGGGCAAACATCCACAGGCAATAGTGATTCACAGTAAAACTGAAGTAAACATTTGACCAGTATTGTCAATGCTGTAAACCGCTGACAGCTTCTTCATCAGCATTCTTTTTATGACAACTTCCCCTCTGAGAATATGTAGCACAGATAGTGAATGCACTGGAATTAATAGGCAGCAAAAACAGGCCTCTTTTTCAGATGTCAATCAGAAGTAAGAAAAATGTGAAGAAATGCACAGATTAATGCATGGAGATGGATTTCCAATAAACTTGCAAGATTTGAGTGTTACTGTGCGGTTTTAGCTGAGTCAGGGTCTGTAGCAGCAGTTTGGGTGGGGGGTACTGGGAATAATGCAGCTCTCTATTGAGTTTAAAACATAATGTACCGGGGACCACAAGACTGCTGACTGGTGGATGGGACAATTCAGTATAATAAATCAACTTGATGTTTCAGCTGGCTCATGATGACCAGTGCAACACCAATAAAGCCTATAAAGGACAACATGCATTAGCTTAACATTATTTTATTCATTTATTTGTATAAATATGTTAAAGCAAAGATCAAAGTCAATGTAAACTCTCAAATAAAGTCAGCACTGTGAAACTTTTATGTTGCTCGGCGACCACATTGTTAGTCCAAAAAATATAAGATCAAATTTATTAGAACACTTCCTTTATCACAGGTTGGTTATTGTGCTACCGCATTAAAAAGACTCTTTCTTTGTGTGTAACTAACCAAAGCCACAAGAACTCAATAATGTATCAGTCACAGTGATGGTCTCCATTCTCCATCCAATAAACATGTCCTGGTGGCAATTTACTGTTCTTGACTTTCAGCAAATGCTGTAACCTGCTTGATGTTAGCAGGTGTGACTGTTCATACACTCCAAGCATTTATTTGGATGTAGTGATACGTTTGTATTTCCTGAAAACTCAAGTGCGTGCCACCGTGGACTGAGAGGCAAAACCAGCAGTTCCAGGAGACTAGAGCTGCAGCCTGTGTACACACTACTCATGGTGGCCACCTGGGAGCACATCCATTCCATCTGACTAACCTGTGTTTGTCAAAGCCAGAGTCTGGCTGCGTGGCTGATCCGCCCATCCCCCACCAGCACTTGGCAGTGCACACAAACTGTCGAGCAACCTCTTAAAATCGACCACCCTTTGAATGCACCCTTCAGTCGGGCGATGAGCATCTCAGAATAACGCACAACAAAGTAGGGCAAAAGGCAGCTTGGCAGTGTTTGTGGAGAACCAAATACAGATCTCAAATATTGAAAGGCAGATGTATGCACGCTCTCACAAACTCCATGTGATGCACTTAGAAGCGCTGAGTGAAATATTAATAGCTGTAGGAGATTCAGGCTGCTTACTTTGTGCTGCGTCTGCATGGGGAAAGAGTGTGTGTAACTTTGTTCATGTGATTGTGTTAAACTGTTCAAATGGGAATCTTAAAATAAAAATCTGAGCAAATGTCAGTCGGTTTTTGTCTGTTCTCAAAAGTAAACTCCATAAGAGACATCTCATTCAGTAACATAACCATCATTAATACCCAACAAAACAAGACCTAGAGAACTGCTTCACAGTGAATGAATGAATTACTGAACGGGGAGGATCTAACATTTCCTTTTGTCTTCCAGCGGTAGTATCTTAAATAATACTACAACACTGATTGTCACATTGATGTGATCATTTATTAGTAGAAATGATTAACCCCCAGAGATAAGACAGCAGCCCATGTGCCAGTCAAATCACGAGCCAGCGGGGCAGTGCAGTGCCACGTGAGCACACCAGCTCGCTTCTCTCTCTCGCTCATCTCACCTCACCATACATCCACATCTAAATCTAACTCTCCATCCGCCTTGCAATCTAGCTACATCTGGACAGAGAGTGCTGATGGGTAGAAGTGATTATCAAGCACTTAAGGTTTGAATAGACCTGACGAATAGGTGCTGAATGCTTAGAGATGCATCGGAGAGATGCGGCCACCGAGGGGAAGTGGACCAATCAGCTGACCTTCACAAGAACAGACCAGACCCCAATCGGCTAGAGACATCACTGCACGCCACCTGCTAGGCTGTTTTTCACACTCTCTGGCATCAGCTAGGGCAGCTTAAACCTGCTCAAATGATTATTGAGCGCTTTTGAAAAGAAAGTAGGATAGAAAAAAAAACACTAAAGAGTGAAGAAAAGTAATAGCCCCATGTTTTGTAAAACTTAATCTTTTCCACTGCCGAAAAATACATATTGCTGCATTCAGTCAACAAAAAATAGTTTTGTAAACAATGTCTGTTTCTCACATGTGCACACATTCTCACATGCACTCATAGAAACAAATACAACAACTGCAGATGGCCACAGTTTGTGTTTTTCACTGAAATGAATCCCAGTCAAGAGAGCATCACGACATGTGAAAAGGTGACAAAACCTGACCTGTAACAAGCAGCTTAGGTCATCAATGTGGCAGGAATTGCAAAGCTGTTAAAGCTCTAACACATTTTCTAAACTGATCAATCGTAAGTTATCAGCAATGCGCATGAAAACACAACTGCAGCGGGGCAATAAGAATGAAAATGAAAAAAAAAGGGAGGAAGAAAGAGAGAGAGAGAGAGAAAGGAATTACCAGGAGAGTTGTTACCTAGAAGAAAGAGAGAATTAAGTGAGAAAAAGTCATGCTGTTGTCTTCATCTCCAGAAAGTTCTAAGCCCTTCTAGATAAAAAGTGGGGAAAGGGAAGAACTGGAGAAGATAGCGATTAGAACATTAAACATAGAAAACACACACAGACCAGAACACAAGACAGATGCACATATGAACATACATACAAAACAGGCTGTGCAGTTGGGTGTCCTACCTGTTTGGCTGAGCTGAGAGGTGCTCCGGCTCTTGCGTGACATGCCAACCATGGCCTGCATTTTGGCACCAATGCTGGAGCGCCTCTTCTTCTCGTCAGTGCCTACCGTGCCAACCGCTGTATCCGACTGGCTGCCGTCCGTCTTCTCCAGGTTACACATGTCGCCGCTGATGCTTGTGCTCTTGGTCATGTTTATCCCACCCGACGAGCCCATTTGCCTGTTTTTCATTTTGGATGCAAAGTCACTGTCAGCCACCACCATTGACAGGGGGGCAGGCGAGGACAGAGAAGAGAGGACAGGGCAGAGGAGAGAGGAGGCCAGTGGAGAGGATGTGAAAGGGGAGATGATGATGGAAGAGGAGACAGGAGGAGAGCATAGAAGAGGCAAGAGGAGAGGACAGGAGAGGGACAGGAGAGGGACAGGAGACGAGAAGGTGTGGGGTGAAAAGGAGAGAAGGACAGAGTTCAGGTACAGGAGTTCATGACTTACAGTATAGCTGAGTTTAGGGTTTAAAGTGGATGTACTGTATATTCTAAAAGATTGATGCAGTGAAAGATCAACTATTATGTAGTCGGCTGTAGCTCCTTAAATTGTTGTGCACTGACTAAAGTTTATTGACCTGTAAAGAATTGCTTTTTTCTTATTTGTATTACATTCTATCAAACACAAAATTTGATTTGTTAGGTCTTGATATTTTAGGTAGTATTATTGTAGTACCAGATTTTTGATCAGTAACACATATGTAGTCATTCCAACTCTGCCGTGTGGACTGTTGTGTAGCATTTGCTTGAAATTTCATAACCTGCATGTTTACAAGATATACGTTGTCTTCACCACTTCCTTTTCTGGCACATTGCTTCATTTCTTGTCCTGTTACTGCTACCTGTAGATCAGTGGAATACTGTGAAACCACTGGCACTGACACTGACTGTGTATCGCGTGCAAGTGCACAGGAACAAACAAGACAGGGACCCACATGTAAAAACATTGCTCCATAGTGCCCCTTGTGTTCAAAAACTCCACAAAGTACCTTTAACTTTCAATCTCAGGTTTTCAGCCAACATGAACAACGGGTCCTTAAAGTTCTCAGAAAAGTAGAAATATGAACATCTACAATGCTACAACAACTGGGCAAACTTCGTCCTCTGTGCCTCCTTCCTCCTCTGTGTGGTATGATTGAAAGCTCCAGAACAGAGCAGTAATGGACCGAGTTGTGATTGTTTTGCCACATACTGTTTGAACTTTTAATCTCAAAGTAAGTTTAAAATGTTTTTGAAAAGATTTGACTTATAATAAGATAATAGATTTTTTTGTATTAATTTCTTTATTAATTGGTCCAGGTTTAAGTTCATGCTATTTAACATGTAGCTCTCTCTTGCTCGTTTTAATGTAGACCTGGAGACAGAAAGTTACAACTTTTCTGGACAGTCCTGACCACACATTCAGTACTTTTACACTAAACTGCACACAAAAGGAAGAGTTGTCTGCCATCAGCATTATTCTCCAGCTCTTCCCGTTTGAAAGGAAATAGGCCACTGTCCAAATTAGGGTCTTATTTTAGCTCTGCTAGTAAAATTATCTTTAAGAGACAAATTACATTCTGTATCATAGGCTCTGCATTCTTAATAGGATGAGTTACGTGTAGCGCCCTCCAGGCTACTATTCATTAATTAAAGTGCCTGACCTCCACCATGTAACTGTCTTATAAAGAAAACTTATGGAGAGACACGCAGACTAAAATGGGAGAAGAATCAATGCATTTCGACAATTGACTCCAGCAATTACTTCAATTAGGCTCCTTCAAATTCTGCTCTTTGCTATATTAGACATTAGTGTTCAGCTCAGTTGCATTAGAACTAAGAAAATGATTGTATATAATCAAGATTACATCAGACATGGTTATAGGATTTCAAGTGCAGGCAACAATATTGCATTACCTTGACATTGAAGGTGAGTGATGCTTTTAATTTAAATGTTAACCCTTGCTAGAGCTCCAGCAATCTGCCCAAGTCTACCAGGCACTCATATTCTGGTCCCTGTGTTTTCAAGCCTTATGCTGCCAGACAAAGCGAGAGCGGTTTGTATTTTCCAGCAGTTAGATAAATAAAATTAATAAATAATATTTGCAACATGTGTGTATGATGATGAACTCATATTGATCTTCTTCACTACCGACAAGAACAATACTCCCTGTTACATTTGATTTCTAAAAAAAAAGCCCCTGTCCTAAACACTACGTTTTGGTTGTTTATACATCTTATTTTGGGTGCCAGCTGGTGGTGAAATAAGTCAGATGTGCTCTAAAAGAATGCACACATGTCGTACCTCAGCCTGCAGCATAAAGCCTTTTGTTTATGCCAGTTCTAATGCCAGCGGGTTCTGTTATGGATCAGCCTGTACTTTAATACATAAATATTGAATGCTTATTGGGGGATTAGTGCCTTTGATCAGTTAATATAGCCGAGAAGCTTTGAAGCAGACTTCAAGCGCCTAGGCTCCTGACAACACCACGGGCCGATGTGGTACAGGTGACATTCTAAAATATGCTCTTTCACTATCATCATAGTGAGGCTGCATTTCATGTGGTCAACACCGAGCGATAATGCTGCCTCTTCCATTACATCAAATATCAGCACAGTGGCAAGGTCGGGGGTACTGGGGCATTGTTGCCTCTACAAATTATTGCCCACTGAGGTTAAAATGAACAAGCAGAGAAACACATGAGCACAGACCCTTTCAAACAGAAATTCATATTGCCCGATTCATTTTTTAAAAATCTAAATAATTAAAAATATGAGGCAATGTATTCATCTACTGGGACAAATGTTCTTCTAGTCTAAATGGACACACTGTACTGGTCAACATGTTTATATCTACTGATGAACAATCCATAATCTGTGTCCAGGAAGCAGTCCAATAATAAAGTGTTAATTTGTCTAGCATGCGCTGCATCTCAACTGACGAACATCCTGTTGGTTCAAATAGATTATCAATGTGTCTAACTGGACACATTGTACTGACTTGACTTAAAATAAACACAACTGTGTAAAATAAATGTATACCAGTATCTACTCACTGTTCCTCTAGCCCCTTCTCTCATTACTGTTTCTCTACTCACTGAACAGGTCTTGGCACTCAGACCGGACTCACTGTGTAAATGTGCCTGCTTGGAAAACTGGGACTCTCCGGGGATTTCTGATTTTCAACCTCAGCCCAAAGAACATAGTGTTCCTCATCATGCAGATTGTTCACTATGCATTTTCATCTAGGCCAAGATGTTCCCAAGGCAAAACAAAACCAGTTTTTTTTTTGTCTTGCGCAAGTGTTGACACCACCTGTCTTTAAATGAGGTAATTTAGGTAACAATAACATACAACCAGTAGATAAAAAGGTACGGTATCTCTGACTTGCTGACCATTTAAAATCATCAGCAAACCATAAATTAAGAGTAAATAGATTTTTTACAAGACTTTACCTACATATAAAAAAGATTTATTATCAGAACATTACATTATGTGTGCTAGTTGTAGATACAACAAATACTGCTGTAGGCTTGAAAAGCAACTTTCTTTTACCCAACTTGGAAGAAACAGATCATGGATGCTGTATATACGCAAAGCGCATCCTGTCCTCCCATACTTATCCCCTCATCTTGTTCGCCTTTCACCGAGAGGATCACTGCTTCTTTATCAGGTGAGGCAGAAAAACGTGTTTCCATAGCAACTGTGCCCCCGGCCAGAGCATTAGCATGCATACACACCTGTCAACATAGCTCCAAAGTTTTTCGTCAGAGACTGAAGTGATTAATTAAAGTCTGAAACTCATTTTGAAACAGTATCATCAGTCGTAAAGGTAGATCACTAGATACGCTGTGGGAGGGGAGGACCAAGGGGTTAAATGAAACATTCCTTCCTTTCTTTCAGTAATGACAGTCTTTACTCTCCCTCACATGACTGAGCCATTACCCAGGCAGCAATATTGGATGAAAGAGACATGGAGGAGAAGAGGTGATGTGGGATTTAAAAGTGCTGATGGAAAGCTTCTTACGGTACATCCTGAAGACCCCTGGACACAACGTCAGCTTAGAGCCGCATGTGTGCATTTGCCTCTTTGTGCAGTGAAAGCGCTCATGGACTAAAAAACACATGGCTATCATGATGTTTGTACGCCAGGCCAATGTGAACAGGCTTGTTTAATGTGTAGCAGATGTATATTTACTCTGTGACCTCAATACATAGGAGATGAGTCATAAGTAAATGTGGCTAGCAGCGATGTTTCTGCCGAATCACACTGCTTCCTGGCTTTTATACATAGATAAGCAGAGCAGTGAATGAACCTTTTATCACTTGAGGCAGGTAGCATCTTATCCCTTACGCTTCCTGACTACACAAATGATCTGTAGACACAGTTCTGATTATTTTCAGTATGTACAGTATCGATCTTGAGGCTCTCATTGTAAGGCTCAGTGCTTCGTTCACTGTTTAAGTTCAATGTCCAGGCTGATGCAAATGTCGTCACTGGCAGAGCTTACATAACACATGGAAAATAGGTCCTTTTTCTTATCCCAGTGAATACTGAAGTAATCATACTGCTAAGTTTATGAAAAAAACATATGGGACTGAAATGTGTGGCTTCGATAGCCAGTGCCACACATATTGTACTTATTCTAAAGTGTGTTTTGATTCATAAATTAGAACATGACACTGAGCAGCTGCAGCAAAGGTCAGTGAAATATTAAGAATAATCTTTTCCCCTGTCTGAGTTTAAAGTGAATACATACAGTAACTGAAGGACTGCTTGTTTCATTAAAGAGAACGTCTGAATTAGTTTATTTTACTGTTTTATATTTCTTATTTAAATCAAGCAATGACTTGGGCAGCAGAGTTAGAAAATCCTGGTCCTCTGTGCCAAAGGTGTAAACAGAGCATGCAAGAATTTTTATTATTTGGTAGAAGAACTACATTCAGCCATTATCATTGTATAAATACCTTGACTAAAATTAGGATTATTGTGGAGTCTTGTGGATTTGGAGCTAATTATTATTAGTATTATTATTATTTTGTACACATGAACATTCTCACTAAACTTGAATGACATGATATCTCTTCTCATGTGTTGTTGTCCTGGAAAAGCAGAATGTGCAATGGCTCACATGGTGAAATAGTATGTATATTATAGATTTATACTGTAGCTGTCATGAAGGAGTTGGGGTTGATCACACAGATAAGAGTTGTCAGCATGTTAAAAGCAGGACTATTCCAGCTCACTTTCAGTCAAGGAGGAGGATGTTGTTTGAAATGAGAATATTTTGGCTGAATTCAAATGTGTCTTCAGAATGTATTTGCTGAGGCAGGTTTTTTACTCACATTAATTATAGTTTCCAGTGACTTAACTGAAAGTGAACTGATTGCTGGTTGACAGTGTAGGTATGAGGGTTATGGTGTTACACAGAGAGAAATGGCATGTTGAGGAGTAACAGGAGGAATCTGGGAGGTTTGTGTTGACAAGTTGCAGAGTGACACTGTAGGACAGCATGTGACAGGCAGACAGACAAAATACAGATACAACACCCCACTGAGCAGCACAGACAAACAGTAAAGCAACACAGATTGCAGCCTCAATAGACAAAACTGTACTGTCTCAGGATTTATTTTTAGATCTTGTTAGCATTAATCTGGAACTAAAACTGTGTAGATACTATACCTGTATTTCTTTAAGTGGATTTGCTCATGTTTCAGCCATGTGCAGTGGTATGTGTTTTCTTAATCAGGCAGGAGCCACTGGTACAGTGTTAATCACACATAAGAGGGTACAGCTTTTATCTTAATGTGTTTTCTCTCAAGTCGTAGCAGACACTGCGGCAGTACTAACGTTAGTAATAAGCACTAACTTGGATCCTGCTGTGAATGTGATTTGATAGAGAAGACATCTTATTAGGAGGGTAAGCTAAGCTTTTATCCTGCTACGGGATTCCAAATCAATTTGTTCTTGAATTTGCTCTTGACATACTTTTTAAACTAGCCCTACACTCTTCAGAAATTAAACTATACTCTCTTGGGCCACAATAAAATAGTTTTGCGTTAAATATACTCTTGACATGTGAAAACCAAAGTAGTCTGCATGCATCAAATTAAAAAGTAAAGATTTCCATACATGCACTCAGCCATGTATGTGTGATTAATTACATTGAAGTACAAACATATTAATTTATTCTACATGGTGATATACATAAATACTTAAATCTCTGAGCTAAATTATACTCTTCAGAGTGGCACTCAGGCAAAAGTAACCATGATGAAATTAGACAGACACTTGGCAACAAGAGGATCATTGGAGGAACTAAAGCATTGACCATTAAGGTGCCAAAGAGAAATGTATCAACTGAACTCACCACTATCTGCTGGTAAACTGTGCAAGTTCTAAGCTTTAGTTTTTCAACGCAAAATATCCTTTGTGATTCTCCCACTTACACCTAGTGGTTTCTTACCACGCAGATATGTGAGTTTGGTTTTATTCACTGAGGTTTATTCAGCGTCTCTAACATGTCTGCGTCTGCCCCAAACAATGGAGGTGAATGGAATGTTGATTCACTTCCATTCTACTGTATCGCATTGTTTGTTTCATTTTCAAAAATTACTTTTCAAAATCAGCAGCATATCTATCCAGAGATATGCTGTAAGGATAATCCACAGACCTCAATTTCAATAGTTTCACTATTTTCAATCTATTTTTTAAGTTGGACAAATAGTCTTTAAATAAATGTTTTTATGGTGAGGTCTGAGTAATAGTTTAAAGAGACACTGTAATTTTTCCTTTTTATATATAATAATTTTTATCAAATGCAGTACTTCAATCATTGAGTGAATAAAGGAAGCCATTCCACATTCCTTCATATATTACACAGGTTGATGTTATATACACACGCTTGCAACTAACATCACCTTTCTTCATCTTTATATTATCCTATTTATTTTTCTTCCTGATGCAACTATATACACATAAGTCCATCTATGCATACACATATAGTGCACATGCCCACTTAGGGCTCTGTGCTGTGCTCCTGCAGAAGATATCTTAAAATCTCAGCAAATGAAACTGAACCTGTCTGAATGGCTACATAAAAAACAAGTTTTTTTTTTTTGTGAGGTTTGGGTTAACTGCTTCATCTTAAATTATTGCTGAACTGTTTCTATATGCATCCTATCTGATTCTTAAGTGTGAATGGGTTGCATGGGTTTCTAACTACAATTATCAGGTAGTAATGCTACTCTAGAGCCACAGCTCCATAATTATCAAGATTAAAGGATGGAGGATAGTCACCACACTCTGTTTTGCACATCGTCTTACAAACGTGCAAAAGTCAGTGTTGCAACTGGGAGATACAGGTCTTCATTATTGTTAGTAGGAGTCTACAGTTAGAGGCTGCCACGCACAGGTTACCTGAGGTCAGTCTCTGAGATACTCCTTTGGTGCAAGTCCTCTTCTTTTTCCACCAAATCCTCCTGATGCTCCTTGTCTGTGTCTACCTTCCCCCCTGATCCCTTCCTTCCTCCCTGCGATCTCCCCTCTTTACTGGCCCTTCTCCCTTTCTCTCCTCCTCCCCCACCTGCCTCCTCCTCCTCTAGCACTTCTCCTAACTGTTCATCCCCCTCCCGAGACTGGCTCCTTGATCGCAACTGGCTGAAGACGGAGACAGAAGCAAGAGAGCAGCACATGCAAAGCAGAAAGAAAATCAAACAAAGCATGAATATTGTCAACAACAAGAGAAAGAAAGACAAACACAGAGAGACACAGTGCAGCCAAGATCAAAAGCAGACTGATTCAAAATAACAACAAAACAGAGATGTAGACTTACAGCAAAGCGCCATGCAAATGAATTTGTTTTTGCTTTGATATGAGACGACACCCAAAGAGATGCAATGTGTTTTATGTTTCAATGTGCGTTGCCAGATATGGACAAACTTCCCCCACAGCTTGAATGAGCAGAGTTCAATCATTTGGTTCCAGATTTTTCTAAAACAGAGCCAAACCTGAACTCATCACAGTGAGAAAATGACACACAGGGCTGGGGGGGTGTATTTTCCTCTTTAAATGTAACCACGTGCAAACACTTTCAAAGCTGAAAACGTCTGGACGTGGCAACATATATGGAAAGACAAGTTCACAGCTGAGAGGGATTTGTCCATTACTGATAACAGCTCGATGAGTTTAAAGTGTGGGACAAAGTTCACTGTGCCCTGGTGTGGACATCAGCCTACCGGATCTTGCGGTTTCCTTGCGGCCTTTCTGATTGGACAGACATGTAGCTCGTGCTGCTGAACCGAGAGGCACTACTGGTTCTCGACACAGCGGACACGTCGCTTACATCACTGTCAGATGACTTGGCCGACAGGTTATCTGAGCCCCGTGGATCTCTGCCTGAATGCTGCAGAGGACAGAAACAATACAAACAAAAGAGCTTATTATTATGAGGATGTCAACAAGTCCTTTTGGCAAGCACAAGTCCATGCTCTTTTCAAATGTTTAGGGCTTATTCATTCTGTACTTGTAGAGTAAACTTTAATAAGCGATGAAAGGGTATGAACTTTAAGCGCAAACAAAACACTGCTCGCATGCCTTCAGCTTTTTAAGGACTACCAGTCTTGATCAAGATAAGTTCCGTGGCAGAAGTGGGCTGATGAATGTGAATAATGTAGACTTATTACTTTAGCTCTCAGAGGAGAGAAGAAGAGTAGGGATGATGTTGTTACATAAGGTGTATTAGGTGTGCCTTTTGAAAGGTCAGAATGTACTTCAGTCAAATAGATCAAAGAGACATTCAAGTAGCAGAAAAATATAAGGCTGAGGGTTGAATCTTGAAGGTTTTCACAATATGGGATACTTAGAGCATTTACAAAAGATTTCACCTCCTCTGTCAGCATCAATCAATTTGTGATTAGCGCTGCTGATAAGGACATTTGTAAAGAAGGTTTTCTGCTCTGGATTTTTTTTATGTGAGGCAGTTTAAATAAACACAGCTTCATTTATGAATGTGAACCTGAGAGCAATAAAATTTGAAAATGACGCAGGAAAAACTAAAACTAGATTTTGACACAGGAGCCCTCCACACAGCAGGGCCACAGAGATCAGGCAATAATACAGCACGCTCTTTAGTTGATAACTTATTTTAATGGTGCAAATACAACCAATGGACAAACAATTAACCTGGGGGTTTTGGAGTTGTCCTCTTTTATTAATCCAGCCTTAATAAAAAGGAATATATTATGTAAAGTAGTTTAAAGTAATTCATTTTTACTGAAAATATTTATGTAATTTTATTTAGGTTAAATTTTAATTTAATAATTATCATCTTGAAACTTTTTTTTTTAACTTAAAGGTCCAGTGTGTAGAATTTAGTGGAATCTAACGCTCGCAGGGTGCAACCCACTGACTCACTCCCCATTCCAAGCGTGTAGGAGAAACTATGCTGGCTGCAAAAAAGGAACAACAAAAAAAAAAACATGGCTGACTCCATGGAAGTCTGTATGCCGATAAAAACGGCCAATTCTAAGGTAAAACACAATGATTCTTATTTTCAGGTGATTATACACTAATAGAAACATACTTATTAATATTAAATTCCATTCCTGACAATAGATCCTCCTAAATGTTACACACTGGACCTTTAAACAAAGGACCTGAGTGCTTGCACCTCTGGCTAGGACTGTATCGTGTAAAAGCCGGTGACATTTATTTGGCACATTTGTACTAAAGTTGCTTTACACCGAAGCTTCCTTGGAAGATCAACTTGGATGACAATCTTGGCGCCATCCTGGTTCCAGGCAATGTGTAAAACTGGATGTGTATATAATATCCTGTGTGTATTTTGTTGTGGTGTGTTTACTGTAAGATAACCTGAACTGAGTGTTACAGTTATTGTTTTGTATTACACTGTGGTTTAAGAGCAAGAGTTGAGAAGTCTTGTTTAATAATAGTGAGAGCACTGTTTTTGTCAATGGCACTTCCAAGGAGGATAATGTTCAACAGACAAGGACAACTTACAATTTAATCTGCTTTTTATAGACTTCTAGCAAACAAATTGGCTATTCCTAATGCAATCATTTTCATACCACAGACTTAAAAGGAAAACTGGACAGAGAGCCTTCGTCTTGTACCGCTTGGCCCAGACTGCAGCAAGACACCAGGCTCAGGCTGCGCTCTCTAAACATGTTCAGGACCTCTCCAGAACAAAGTAGTAAACACTTGACTCTGCACACACTCACTGTCACATTCCTTGAATTACAAGACAGCAAAAGGCTTAAAGGTTCAGTTCATGTAAATGACGGAGAGAAAACACATTCCCTTGCTTACTTATGCTTGTATTTAACCTTCCAGCCAGATCATTTTGGTTGTATGTGCTAAGATTAGGAGATATCTACTTTAGTTTGTATGGCTCAAAGCATTGAGGAATGACATTTGAAAAGCACGACAGATGTGTGTCCCAGTTACTCAAGATAGTCCACAGACCCTGCTGTGAACATAATTTATCATTATTATTATTTCCTATCTCAGTTACAAATATTTCCCAACAAAAACTGTTGAAAGTGAGGTCTGGGGATTATCCTGAGTTAGTCAGACATTGTTTCTAGGAAGGCATGCTGGTACTGCGTTGTATTTCATTAATGAAATGTCAAAACAAAACTATCTGCATGGCTCAATTCCACTAGGAGTAAGTGGAGATACATATATATATATTTTGCTGTTTTGATTTGGGTGAACTGACTGTTTGAACTGAAAACCTGTATTGGTATGTTTGTGTGATATATACATTTTACATACATATATAAGTTTGTCTGTGTTATATACAGTATGTACACTATGCACTATCAATGCACATGTGCAGTATGATGTGTCATATGGCCTATGCACCATGCAAACAGTATACTGTAGGGACATGTTTTGTTCAGTGAATCTGGAGTAGCGAAGCATAAATCCAGCTATCTGGATGGGTTTATACCTTGTGGTAGTCCTGCTCCAGCCTGGAGTCGGAGCCTGCTCCCTGCTTGTACTTGTTCATCTTCAATTTCATCTGCCTGGTCCTTTCTTCCATGTCCATACCTAAGCACAGAAACAAGAGGCTGTCAGATAGGGGCTGATGCAGTGAGGAAAGCCTGATGCAGAGACATACTGTTGTGGTGAGAGACAAGCTTCTGCTGAGCTATGAGCCATGAGCTATGACAAGGACAGATCTAATGGGAAAAAGCTGAATGGTTGGCTGTATTACAAAACAAAAACACAAACAGAGAAAATACTGACTGATAAAAGTAAGCTGCATAACATATTAAACAGCGTGTCACAATTCCAGGCTCATTTAACTGTATAATAATAATTAAAGGGCACATTGTATAGAAGCTTTGGACACTAATACTTCAATAAACACATATACAACCTCCAACACTGCTTGTGACCCATGTTGGGACACATTTTACACAAGATTCTAGATAAATTCCAATCCTCTGACAGCAAATGAAATTCCTTTGTGATCCAACTAACTGGCCAACGCAATCCCTCTCAGCTCAAAGTGAAAGGCTTGCAAAATCCCCCCCCCCTTCATCAAATCTTCATCTCCTCCTGACTTCAATTTAAGCACTGTACTTAGTTTCATATTGCTGCAAGTGCAATTTGCAATATACAAACATCACACCAGAATCAATACACAAGCTTAATATTGTTCTGTGGAGGTAATAAAGGCACTGCATAAGAACTAACAAAAATGTATGTAACTAAAAAGAAACACTGAAAATATTACCTCACAACAATTTATTTTATGCTGAAACTGCTACATGTGTTCTTTTCTGTAAATACAATTTTCAATCGCCACCAAATTATAACTTTCCTGCTGTACCTGCATCTCCATTCTCTCCACTTGCTCTCTGTCTCTACTTTTGTGTCAAATGGTAGCAGTGATAAAGTGAAGGTGAATGCACACGTACAAATGCCATGCGCACATACATTATGCCTATAGCTTCACATACACACACACACACATACACACACACACAAATACAAAGAAAAAGCATTATAAGCTGAGAGCAAATGAATGACTGCATATGTGATGCAAAGTGAATTTTTTTCATTACAATCAAGTCTACTCTCTGCCTCTCTTGGTTAATTGTTTACCGTTACTTCACTGCTTAAGTTAAATCTCACAGCCTACACATGTCCACATCTTTAGTTGTCTCGAAATTACAGGGAAAGTTTAATTTAATCTAAAAAGCATTCAGATTACTACTTGTTATGTCAAGCCATATCAGCTATTGTCAACATCTGTTTGCCTAAAAACTTAGAATTTTGTTGATTAACTACTGTGGTTATGCTGATTTTAAAGTTACAGTGCAGTCAGAAAGTGTTGGACAGTTAAAATGAAAACAATGGAAGTAAGAAAAGTCAGAAAGTAATGAATCTTGCCCAGTCAATCATTATAAGTTGAACAAGTTAAATTAATAGCTTGACATTTTGGGAAATACGCTAATTCTTTTTTTACCAATCTCACCTGTGTATATTAAATATGTAACTGGAGTTAGCAGCCGGTCAGCTAAGCTTAACAAGCACCTGTAAACCTCACTAATTAACATGTTATATTTCTTTGTTTCTTTATATCTTGGCCAGCACAGAGACTTCCTGGAATCTTGGCTGATAGCCTGGCAACCTCATAGCGACGACAAGACCCCAAGAAGAGCCTTTAAACTGGGAGGCTGTATAAAACTGCCTATGTGTCCCGACTGTCAGCTAATTTGCTAAAGTTAACCCAGATCATGAAAAACACATTCATTATTGTATCATTTTATTATATAGTTTTTTCTTGGTAGAAAATAACACAGTGTCTCATGTTAAGACCTGCTTCAGTGGCATGACCATGACCATGCTTCTATAAACTGTAAGCATACACACTGTGTCAAAATAAAAGAGTGCGAAATGACAAAGAAGCTGGAAGCGTTGTCTACAGAACAATTAAGAGTGCAAACAACACAAGAGGATGGAGGCGAGCAAAGCGGGAAAAGAAAAGACGTTTCAGATGAGGGGAGGTGGGTTGGGGAGGGCAAGCCAGGAAGACGTACAGAGTGAATAAAAGTAGGAGGAAGAAGAAGGCTGAGTCAAAGAAGAAAGAAGGTGAAGAAGAAGAAGGGACAGACCTGAGTTCGTCCAACTTGGTGAGTCCGTGTCTTCTGGGATCACATCACAGAATGGACAGACACAGACAGAGGAGAGGAAGATGGATGTGAGAGGATGCACGAAGGGTAAAGGGGGGCAGACGGAAAAGAAGAGGAAGGAAGGAGGGAGGGCGATGCCATCGCCGTGATCGCCGAGTATGCCAGGTTTGGAGGGTCAGAGTGAGGAGGAAGAGGATGGAGGGAGGGAGGGACACGACACGACACGACACGACAACAGTACGACGACAATGACAAAACAACAAGCACAGAAACACACAAACAAAATCATAGAGTACACCAAGAACACACAAACTCCACCATGGGCACAGTGTGAAGTCAAAACAGAGCAAGAGGGTGCGAGGCCGGGAGAGGCTGAGGTAGAGGCTAAGAGTTTAGTTATTAGAAATAAGAAAAGGGGGGAAAGGTTGGGGAGGTGAGGATCTGTGCTTTAAAGGAAAAAGAGCTGAAACAGTAAAGAGATGTTAATGTCCCGGACCAGATAGAAACTCGAGACCTCTGAAGAAAGGCAGGGAGAGGGGGGGGGGAAGGGGAGAGGGTAAAAGGAGAAGTGGATGTCACTTGAGTCTGCATGGGGCAACTGTGGGGAGACAGCCTGGAAAAATAACATAAAAGAAAGGAAAAAGAAACACAAAACAACACAAACTGAAAGCACAGAGCAGCGAGCACACAAAAGAGAGAGCCGACTACCTCACAAAGTTCCAGCGAAAAACTTGAAAATTGTCAAGAATATCAGCATAACCTGAGTAGAGGGCAAAAGTGCACATTTAAATGCACGCACACACATACACACACACATACACAGACATCAGCTACAGTATCTTTCTGAAAGACGCTTATGCAACAACACGATTGAATGCTTGCATTCAAGCGTCTCTTTTGCTTCCGATTACATATTTTCTCCCCCTCTTTGTATTATTCACGTCCGTCTTTCCTTCCGCTCAGTCTGCTGAGACCCTGAAATATTCTGAGGAGGATTTTGTTTACTTTCTATTTCTCTCCAAAGCTTTTCATGACTCTATCGGCAATCAGGACACTTCCATGTGTGTTTTGATCCTGTGTAAGCAACCCCTCATGGACTCCCAGGACCTCAGATCGTGGGTTCAACATCGGGGTCAGTGTGTAATCAACATCCTCACAGAAAGGCTGCCCCCTCTGTCCACCATAATGTTCTCCAACCCTCCTGTCTAATCTGCGTCCTGGAGTCTGAACCTGACAAAACCAACAGTGACAGCCGGGAGGGCAAAAGAAGCCCACTCCGCTTTAAGACTTAATTTTCATAGCCCCTTACACAGAATTTGCATTTAGCTCAATTAGTACTCCATTAGGGTGAATAATGAAGTGTCATATGAATAAAAAGACAATGTGAGACATCTGCCTCACAAGCTTTCATCTCTTTGTGGCAGCTAACATCATCTCATTAGAGAGTCAAATGATAACCAAGAGAGCAAGTGATTTTTTTCTCTCCTTACTTCAGTTGCATCATGTAGGTCATCAGGATAAGAGAGTGATATATTAAGACAGAGATGGGAGTGAAAAACTAGAACAAGTCAGTGTGGAAAAGCCTGTGGTCTGTGGGTTAATAGTGTTTGGTATTAACATTTTATACTTAACCCAACAGTCTCTGAATGACAACCTATTCCCAGCAGTAGATGCAACAGCAAAATCATCAAATGTGTAACAATTTTTACAAATGGTGATTCATAAACAACATAGAGTTGGTAAGATAACAAGAAGATGTTCCCTAAAAGTTGGTCACTATGGAAGTGACTCATGATACTAAATTCTGAAAAACATTTTCTTATGTCAACAGTCAAAGCAGTCTTTGTGCAGAAAAACACTTTTCTTTCTGCCTTTATCTTAATAAAATAAATCAATCAGTAGTTGCTAGTATATAGGTCAATAGACAACCCAATGGAGCTCATTGTCCATATCATTGAGATGGCACATTCAACAAAATTTTTTTTATGAAACTACCGTTGTTGAATTATGTGCAGTCATTTTCAGTTCCACATAAAGAGTTTTAATAATTTTGATCCTCAGTGTTTATACAGGTAAATACAATGTAGGCAATTCATTCCCTCCTATTTTAAGTTAGGGTTCCACTTGGTTTCCTAACTGATGCACTACACTAGTACATGACACAGTCTATCTACATCTAAGTAAATATTAAAAAACTGAATAACTGCACCACCTGCAGAAGGCAAGTTGAATAACTCATATCTTTCTCCCTTCAGTTCACTCGCTTAGATTTCAGTCTATTTCAGTCAGGTATTTTTTTGTTGTTGTAGATCCAGAAACTCTGTTGGAGAATAAATGACTGGTATGGGAAAATGGTGGTAGTGAGTGGTGTGATTAAAACTCCACCCTTTATATAAAATCACTGTTGAGAAGCTCCCAGTGTGAAAGTAATATGAATGTGGTCAAGCTGGAACAGAAGATTGTGCTCAGTCAGCCTTTCCAGGATAAATAAAGGTTGAAAAAAATATGCAGACAAAGACGAAGAGGGGAATAGAGAAGCGGGGAGTTTAAGGAGTGACAGAGGCTGAAAAACAAATAGGACATGGGAGGGAGAAGAAACTGACTGATGACCACGCTTGCTGTAGGTTCATTACTGCTTGAATTGCAGGCCATGGAAGGCAGAGGCTTTACGGCCATGTCTGATCCACTGAGCCTTGTTAGCCTACTACACCAGACTGCACATTACATGCAGCTCCCCAGCAACGCATTTTTCAGTGAAAAACTGCTTTTAATGCCACTGTGTCACACTGTAACAAAATTAATCTAAAATAACACATATAATCTTAAAATGCTCATAATATCAGTAGTTGTGCTGTTTTTCTTCTGGAATGTTTAAAATCTAACAATGTTACTGTTAAAAATGATTTGCATAGCAGATCAGATCCTGTGGGCAGAATGAGCAAGTGACATAATGGGTAAACATAAATGAGGATTAATTCAAAGGGAGGCGAAGATGTGTTTCCATGGAAGCACATAAAGCCTGTACAGCAAACACAGCACCTTAAGACACTGGTGGTGTCATTACCTTAGCAACACATTTCCACTTTTCCCGCAATACATCTATGGATGATAGCATCTCATCAGAATTAACTTCATTACATTTATTAAAAGTATGACACTCTGCCAAGACACTTTTATATAATTAAAAATATGCATGTTTTGTTAAGGGTAATGAAATGTGCCTTAATCAATTTTCAGAGATCAGAGTGTCTACAAAAACATCAGCTTCATGCTGCACTGCAAAACCACACTGAGGAGGGAGAGAAAGAAAAACAAAAGGCTGCCATCCAGAGGCCGACCTGGGCAACCGCATCTTAATCATAATTTTAAATAACTCTGCTGGATTATACAAAATATACAAAGTGAGTTCTCCTTGTTATTATATCTCCCTTCTCTTTTCTTTTTCTTCTTTTTTCTAACACACAGCTACTACTGTACATTGTCCAGGTCTGGCTTTAGAGAGGCTGTTATCCAGCTGGTGAGTCCACACAAACTGTGAAGGACAGTGTGGAAAAAGGAAAGATCACTTTGGTAGAATATTGTTTATTAATATATTAATATTGTTGACTATGAAGGTGCATGCCTTTACATGAGTCCATGAATAAGAAACAACAATATTTTATTGCTCTACAGGAAATGCGGTAGATATGAAAAATTTCATTCTTACATTTCATAAAGCTGTTTGCCAATATCTTTTTAAAATTTGTCTCAATTCTTATGACCGTTAGCTCTAAGAACCTTTTTGCTATTGGTTAAGCTATGACGAGGCTGTGTAGTCAGGTCATAGCATACCCCACCCTGTTTCTTGTGACTGTACTGCCAGGACTCTTAAATGATTTGGACTCATATGATTGATTAAGAAAAGAGCATAATACTCTATCAAAGTGAAATATGGCTTTTAAAGTGTCAGAAATCCACACCCAGACCAACCAACCTGTGTCAGGGAGGGAGGGGTGTGGCTGTGTCCCTCCATCAGACAAAGAGCCATTCAGCCCTCGCTGCTGGTCCTCCCATGTCACTTCTACAGCAAGACACACACACACTGGTTTGCATGCTAAAGGGATCTTAGGGACCATGGATTATCAGGGTCATGTTTTATGTGATCCTGCACAAATGTGCTAAAAATAATCTTTTTTTAATCTTAGTACCTTTTAATACGCAGTGTACACATTGAAAGCAGAATGTATATATTTTGCAGTGATAACACAGAGTAGTGGTAAGGACTAGGAAGGAAGGAAAAGACCACTTTGTCACTTCAGCACTGATATCACGGACAGCTCCTCATCACAGATAATGAACTTTGCTCCATCTGCTGGCCAACAGAGGTAACAGTCTCTAAGGTTCTAAAAAATAAGACATTATACTCTGCAGTACAACAAAGGGAAATGCACAGAATTCAGAAAATACTACACCTAATTATTATCTGTTAAGATGAAATAATAATTATAATAAAAAAATTATAATAATCTTGATGTTTTATGACATAAAATGGCAAAGGACTGCCCTGAACATGGGTTATGTATGGCTGAAACTGCCAGTCTTGAGGGAGTACTGTACAGTGTGTGTGTGTGTGTGTGTGTGTGTGTGTGTGTGTGTGTGTGTATAATATATAATCCATGTCTAATTAAAATGATTGGCGATTTCACAATGGAAATGAAGAGCTTTGTCTTTGTGGGGTTGAGCTGAGCAGCATGAACTTCTATCAAAGTAGAGGGCAAATTAGGGCCGCAGTGGAGCCAGGGAAGGACAGACCAGCAGAGATCACAACGACAGCACTCTGTACATATTAACATCAGCTTCGGCTACATACAACTCTCTAATTTAAGCACTCCAAAATAACTCAATAGGAATAAACCACATTCAGTCTATATAATAGAACGTGGATAGAGGTGGGCATGAATAAAACTACAGCAAATAAGAAGGAACGGTCACTAAGAATAGCAAAGTACTGAGAATCACAGATGCTAGTGAATGTCACACATGAAGAACTTGTGTTGACCGAGAAAGCCCACACAGCAAAGTCACACCACCACACTATACAGAGGACTTGCCTTTCCTCCCATTTACCGGTGGGCCTTGGGGTTTTTCCTCACAGTCTGCTGCTAGTAGAGAGACAGATGGAAGCCCATGAATTGATGGAGCTCTGAAACCATATATTGGTACTGTACGTCGTGTTAATATGGCAACTCATACTTACTGTATGAGCTCAAACACAGACTCGCATACACCCACAGATCCACACACAAACACGCTGCTATCCCAAGATACTACTATTTTGCATATAAAAGCCACTATACAAAAATGCTATGAACGTTTGGTTAATAACACAGAACAGTGTGTGGTTAATTGCACCATGCATTTGTTACTATACTCATAATACAACATACAAGTTTCTTACTGCAGAATATAGCCTGCAGAATATGACTCAATGATTATAGATGATTTAAAAACAGAATGTAGCCTTTTAGAAACCTTAAACTGAGTATTCACTGAGTCAGTCAGCACTACAGCTATGGAAGTGTTGAGTAATAGCGCCACACAGTCAAAAGACAGGAGCCACATAAACAGATGGGAAAGTAGGAAGTGGAAACTGTGGGGAACTCCAGTTTCTGCCAACAGTCTGGCCATTCATTCAAGCCTGGATGAATGTACTGTACACAAACCCGTACTGTACATTACTCTCATCCAAAAAACAAACTCCAAACTCCTAACAGAGCTTATAATATTTAATTAGCTTTCTTTGTGAAGAAATGTGTAATTCATTCTTCACCCATTCATGAAATGTTTTTCTGAAGAAAGGAGCATCACATATTTTAAGGAAACACAGAAAAACATATTGCTTTAGGAGAGGCATTATGTAGTGATAAACACACCTGGGCGACCATTTTGGGGTTCAGGTGCCCCAAGCTCCTCCCCTGTTCCCTCTTAGGAGTTGCCACACATGAACAGATAACATACAATACAATTAGATATGTGCAAGTATGAGGTATGACTAAAGTTTTAAGCACATCAGCGAGACAAAATAATAGCAGGTTTATCAACAGTCCAGCTCTTGTTTGTAAAGCTCTTCCCTCGGCAATAATATGGATCCAGTCCATAAAAAAGCCACATACACACATTTGCATTACATAAGCTGAGTGCCATACGGCTCAGTGGGAGCTACAGCACAAGGTCAGATCAATACCTCCACACACTGCTCACACACTGCCACTGGCCTGAAAGGTACGGCAGGAAGAGAGAAAGAGACTAAAGAAGAAGAATAAAGAGGAAAAGGCAACACAAAGAAGTGACGGAGAGGTCCAGACAGAGAGAGCTTCAGAGTGATAAAAAAGATGGCACACATACAGAAGAAGGGCAGGACTGAGAGAGAGCAAAGGAGAAAGTGACGAAGATGGAGAGAGAGAGAGACAGAGAGAGAGAGCGAGCGAGAGAGAGAGGCTGGTTGGCAGCTGTACAGAAGACAGGGAAAGCCCTCATGGACTCTGACAATGATGAAAGAGTTCTGTGAGTGCTTTGACAAGTTCTCCAGAACTGCTTGAGCTTTTTGCCCTCTCTCTATCTTTCTCCCAGTCATTCCCTCCAAGCTACAACAGTCTTTGTTTTTCACTGAGACACAAGTGAATTTATAATTTCTTTCATTACGGTTCTTCTTATAGTGCACGTCACAAGTCGCTAGAACACATTTGTTAAAGGATTGCTGAGGAACAAATGAGTTCAAATGTCACTTTGTAGTTGTGAAGATGTGAGAAGTTCAAACTATTGTGCTTTAATGCTGTTCAAAGGCTCAAGTTCACCCTGTTTAGTATATACAGACAATAAAGCATTATATAAGCTTTGGTGAAGTATCTCAGCAGTCCAAATAGCTCAAATAAATCAGTAACTCCCAGACATATAACTCTAAACACAGAAACGGGGAGGCTACATTTGAACACCACACTGGGATAATCAATAGTAGGATCCAGACAGGCCTACAGGTAAGTACAACACAACGGCACAGGACATCTGAACTGTACGTTAAACACAGCTGCAACAGAGGGAGGGTTCAAGGAGCACACAGTAAGCTTAGCCTCCAGTGAACCCAGCCACCCGCCGTTGCAGACAGGGTTTCGGCCTTCAGAGTAAGGTGCTGCTTAACCAGCTTTCCCAGTCTGAAAGACTAAACCCTTACATTCAGGTACAGACCTTCACAAGGCTCTGTTCCTTCGTCTCCATCTTCTGAGAGAGAAATGGAAAAGGAACCGAGTAGATTTGTTATGGATAGAAGGCAAAAGTAAACACCACTAAAACATAAATCAACAAAGAAAAATCCTTCTGCATATATAATATGATCTATAGCTTATAGTGGGAGATTCCAACAGCAAATAATAATCCTTCCTGTCTCGGTCAAAAGAGAAGTGTGAGAGTCAGCAACTGCTGTAAAACCAAAGCTCTTCCTCAGTCCCAATCAGCTGGGCCACCAAATAAAAACAATATCTTTGGAAGATGCTGAACAGAAACACACTATCCAACTAATATAAAGATGTCCTCACTCAATAGACATGTCTTTACAGACAGTAACCCAGTGATGCAAAAAACAAAACAACCCAGTGACTTACTTCTGTCTTTCCCCGTAGGTGGAAGCTTCGGTAGTTGCCGTCCTCGTCTACTGGACATGGGGGTACTGGTGGGACTGGTCTGGACTGATCCACTACGAGGATGTGCCCTACATGACAAAAAGTAGTGGACAATGGGGTAAAACACAAATTAGGACAAGATCTGATGGTGGATGCAGGGCCAACCCATGTCGCACCTACATCACAGTGTGAGACAAATTCAGTTATCTATACTATATACTATACTATAATGGGAGACTGACACTTGATTGAATCTACTTATGTAGCATTAGTTTAATGATTAAGAATATATGTTAGATCACATATTTACTTGTTTTGATGCTAGTCACTGTTAAGCTCAATTGGAGATGATCAGAGACAGCAATTGTACCAACTAAGAGATCATCATATTTGTTTAATAATTCAAAGCTGAATCTTCTATGTGACATAACTAATAGTGGTTATATAGCTCCATGTAAACAGTTTACAGCTTGACATTGTTTTACGTAATGCAAATATTTACATATTTAGTAACTTTGCAAAGATTTCCTGATTATCTGAAATCTACAAAGTGTCTTATATCTCAAAATATAAAACCAATGCACACAGCAATGATGTTTGGCACATGGCATGGGAGTGGAGGGACACATCAACTGTAGGGAACTGAGCTGCAATAAAAGATGCCAGGTGTGAATCGCATGTACAGTCGACTCATCAAGCTGCAAGGAGAGAAGAGTTCAATGCAGAAACAGCAGACCAGTGCGACCATGCGTTCAGACTGTCCCCAAAAGGCTGCAACTCAAAACAAAAAAAGGTAAAAAAAAAACAAAACAGAATGCCATCACAAGATAAACGGCATCGGTTGATGTTAGTAAATTAAATCAAAGTAAAATGTTGGCCCATCACTGCTATACTCACTAACGCGTATGAGCAGTGTGTTCCAAATTAAAACGAGGCAGCACGCTATCTATGGTGTCAGGAGTTGGTCGTGCCTGGAACATGTGTAAAGAAAATACAGCTCCGGTGCTTTTGGGGACAAAACAGAAAGTGGCTAGGTGGGTGGTGGGGTAGTCGTGAAGGGGAAGTGGGTGAGGTGAGGTGAGGTGAGGTGAGGTGAAGTGAGGTGAGGCAGGGAAGCAGGGTATTGGCAGTGTGGGAGGTAGGTGGTAGTGATGTGGTTTTTCTGGTTCATTCTGTGAGTTAGTCAGGCTCGGGGTGGGTGGGAGCTCATGGGACGGGGTCTGAACTGGTTGTTCTACAAAGGTTCTAGTTATGCAAACATTTAGCAGAGGTGGAGCTGCTCTGGGGGCAGAAATAATCGTATTGGTTGATTTAAACCTCAGTGTTGAGTATGAGAACCAGAGATTTCCACAAATCTGCTAGTTCTAGCTAGTAGTTAGATTAGCATAGCATGAAAAAAATTTAAAAAATGTACTATGAGAGTCAGCAGGCTACATAGCTTGTCTAAATAAACATAAAGCCATATGGGTAAGCTAGGTAGCTAGCCTACTAACTAAACTAACTAACTTAGATCATGTAAGTTACCTGTGTGACCTTTGTCTATATTGCATATTCCAGGTATATACTATTAGCTTTAATGCATTCACTGGGCTTTAATCTAATAATGTTTCTTAGCCAATAAAAGTGTTTTTTTGGTATACCTATTGATATTTTAAGATAATGTTTAAATTATGTCTCCCTCCAGAGTAGCTGTGCCTCAGGGAAATGATTATACAACTAAAACCCCAGTCTGCTGCTGTGCTAAGCTGGTTAGCGTCTCCGATCTGGGTCACACCTCGTCAAGGCAGGTGAGGGGGGGGCGGACCTCCCAGATGGCAGAGACGGCATGGACCTCATGAGCGAAGAGTCGTGGGGGCGTTCAGTGGAGCGCGAGCGGGATGTGGGGCGCTCTATAGTGGGCCGCTGGTCTGCAGAGCGGGACCTGCTGTGATACTCGTGTCTATCCATGGCTCCGTGGTTCCTACAGAGGTTATTGAGAGATAGGCAGGCACTCAGTGGGGCCCCAGCAGGGCAGGGACAGTATGCGGGCAGGGTGGACAGTATAGAGGGCAGAGAAATGCCCTCAAAACTCCTCCAAGGTGCATGTGTGTAAGTAACATACCTGGGATTTTTTTTTTATGTTTTAACCCATTTACTACAAATCAAATACTACACTTTACAGTATTTCTGAACTTGCCATCCAATTCTGTTTGTTGTTTTATGAGAATTACAGGAAATCAGAATAAACACCATTATGGTTCAAGTATGATCAAATTGCATTACATTTGCACTGTAATGTGGGTGCAGATTTCTAAACCTATCTGTGGTTGACATATTCACTGTCATGGACTACCAAATGTCTCCATGAGCTGATTTTCATCCTGCTTTGAAATGAATGTGAATTAATGCTACATGTTAAGTAGGAAAAACACATTCAAAAATATAAAACACTACAGCCTGCCTTGAAGTAAATTGATTAAAACAAGTAAAGAATACAGGTATGGCCCTTTAAAGTGACAAAATGAAATCATTCAGCAACTCTTAGAGAGCAGTAGACAACACTTTAATGTTCAAACACCACCTGTTTCCACTGTAACAACCTTAATCAAGGTTGCAGAATTACATGTACAATTGTTAATCAATTTCATTCCATCCATACATGATCACTGAAGTGGTCATTTTGGAATTAGTAAAAATTGTTCAACTTAAACTGTTTTACATTACAGCATTGTCTATTATTCTCCATTAATAGCTGAATTACTTAATTTTAGGGGTTGAGAGTATGGACAGACGGATAGGTGGATCCTGTCTGATTTATGGTTCCTGAAGTGAATTAATTGTGAAGTCTTCAGATTGTGTAGAACTGGCAGGGGCCTTGTGGTGCCTCTCTGTAAATGGTGGGTGAGTGTTCATTTGCATTCTTTGAGTGAAATGTGAAGAAAAAGTGAAGTGTATCTTTACATTTTGGCTTGCTATATCTGTTTATATCTATATTTCCTGAAAAATGCCCAGCAAACATAAGTATTTTTGGCACACTGAGGATGAAGACAAATCCTGTTGATCTGAAGCTGGAGAAAAAAAAGCAGGTGAGGTTTTTCAATTAGGAAAATCATTGATTGAGTGTAGAAGGATATTGTTTACCTTTTGTAAGCATATCCAGATCAGACGAGTGAAATAAAATGAAATAAATTACCACAAGTACAGAGGTTTAGAGCATGCACAAACTGTAAAAGTTCAAAAAGTTAAAAGTTTAAATTCATAAATCTCACAGAGTTTATATGATTAATATAACAAACAGTATTTAACTAAACCATTATACCATTCTTATTCTGAAGTGCAGAAGACATGTTGGTGTCAGTACAATACAAATAAGTGGGAGCTGCTTCTAATAAGGTTAATAGACACCAAAAGACTTCATCATGACTTGTTGAAAGTTTTTGAGAATGTGGAAGCACATTTTTTACTTCAGTGTCAATCTATTTAATTGTAATCATTAACACAATCTTGTCATAGCCTTGTAGTATCTGTAGCCTTTTGCAATATGAAAAATTGTCCAGTAGAGGAGATGTCCTTTCTGTCTCCAATAGCAAAACAAAGGCTCATCAGTCAGTGACCTGAAGTAGTCTTTATCTAGTCATTTATACTGATGGTCAAAATAATCATTGGTGGATTTCCATTGTGAGGTTGTTATGGCCAAGGATGTATGGGTAATGTGAAGGTTATGTCTGTTACAAACCTCTATATATATAGATATAGCCATGACATACACATACTGCACTTTGGAACAGCTCTGCTCAATATTCTCACTGGATTCAAACTCAGTCCAAAATATTAGTTTTGTGTTCTTGTAGAAGCTGCTGTTTTGATGCGTATACGCTGCAGGCTCAAGGTGCACTCTGGGGCGATGCACTTAAACAACAGAACCATGAAAAACATTTTCTCATGTTCTGAGGGGAAATCACCTAAACTAAGACACTTGCCAAAAGGCTCAAACTCCACTAATGCCCATCTCCTTCTCTTCCACGTGCCTTTTGTTTCGTTATTCTGCCCTCATTTCTTTTTAGCTCTCACTGTTGTTTTAACTCTGCCTGGGTGGTGACAGAAACAAGCTATCTGTTTGAAGAGAGGAGGGAAATCTATATTATTCCTCTGTGGATAACACTGAAATGCTAGCTACGTTCCTCTTTGCTGGTTTAGACAAAAAGAAAGGGGGAGAACAGAAGACGGAGAGCTCTCGTTAATGGCTATCTAGGCTATAGGCTGAGGCTGAAGTCGAGCCAAGCTGGGCCTCAGGGAAACTTTGTGACACTTTAATAAAGTCAGTCAGGCTCTCAGGCTGGGTTCTGAGGACTCATCACTTTTTTCCTCCTGGTGAGGAGAGAAATGGCACAAACATCACGTTATTCCTGACTGAAAGCCAGATGGCAAAAGGCGAAAGATTGAAGACAGAGAAAAGTGGAGCGTTTACGGCGTTTCTCTGGAAGGAGGGAGGGTGATGTGAGTTCTTTCTTTTTATTGGTGCACCAGGACGCTGGCGTGGCTCCTGGGGATGGATGGGTGTCAGCAGGCCTTTCTATGCATGCTTGGAACGGCCCAGCAGCCCATTCTGGCCAGACACAAGAAGCCAAAGGGCAAACACAGACTTTACAAAGCCAGAGCAATGCATCAGAGATGCCATTGTATAGGTGTGCAATAAGCTGCTGCTAATAGCATGTAAAAAAAAAAGGACAACACTAAAAATCACACACACCACTGATCATATCATAACATACTGCTGTTAATGTACATGGGAACATAAACAAGGACATCAACGAAGAAACAGTCAGGTGCTGGCCAGCACTTTACTCAACAACCAGTGTACATACAGCTGACATCAGCGACACACATAGCTCTGAGCCTCAACATACAGAGGCAGTTGTGTATTATTTTACATCAACAACTTCAGAGCTGTGATGACTCTTTAACAAAAACCGATATCAGGCAGGATATCATTTTCTGTCATCACCTGTACGATCACGGATAAATTAAAGACGGACGAGAGACAACTTGAGGAGACCACAAGATGCTGGATGCACAAATGCAGCAGCAGTGCATGTCAATACCTCTCGTAGTCATAGTCGGAGGAGTAGGCGCCCTCAGAATAGGCACGGGACATCCTAGTGGAACGCAGTAACCTGACTGCTTCCTCTCGGCAGATTGGGTACACGCGATGGTTGCGGCTGGCGAAAAAATATCACAACTGGTCAGAATTAAACTGTTTACCAGCAGAAGGGGAAGTAACAAAAAAAAGAACCTGCAAAGGAAGAAAAGTTGGAGTACACCTTTTGGAGTCCCATTACAGACTTTCTCTGTCTGCTCTCTGTCTAAATTCCCAGTGATTATATATAAACTGAATATACACTACTATATGTATCAACATGTTTGCAGGAGAATCGACCTCTGCTGGACAAAACTTCACAACCATAGACCACTTATCCATTTTCAGTATTGCTACAGTCACTCTTTTGGTGGATATAGTGAAAAGACAAATGAGGAAATTGCTCATCTATAAATCCTATAGTACATTTCTGGAGAGGAATGTTTATATGAGAATGACTGCAATGATGAAAAGAGAGAATAAGCAATGCTGATACTGGATGGATTAAGTGTATGGCCACAGAGTCACTAATTTTCTAAATATAGTGTACTACTGAAAAGTACCACACACTATGTATATATTTGATCTTTTGCAGAAGAAATATATACTTTAACACAACACAATACTGATGGCACTGACAATGGCTAGGCAATATGAAGGAGCCTCTTTAGTGCATCCAAAAACCATGTTGTGTGATGTTGACTTCCTCAGTGCAGTGTAGTTAGGCTTGGAGGACTCAATGACGAGTAACTACTATGAGGTTCTTACAGTGCATAGACTATTGTGATAGAAAACATGCCATAGTATCAGTGCCATGTATTCAACAACCAAATGAAAGATTTCAACAAGAAAAGAAATGGGTTGTGGGTTGGAGTTGAGGGGGTGTTGGGTTGGAAAGTGGAGGTGCAGAGATGGGGCTTCATGCATGCTCAGGTAAAAGTCTACCTGGGGTCCTTTTGAGGATCATCAATAGGCTGAGTATGTCTGGTTCGAGGTAGGGTGAGAAAATGGCTGCAACCACATGGAGGGAGGAGAGAAGACAGAGATGGATCTGAGATGGCGCCGAGGAAGAAGCGGAGGAGGAGGAGGAAAGGAGAGAGAGAGAAAGGATTGGAGATAGACAGAGTCATAGGGAGACAGACAGAGTCATAGGCAGACAGATGGAGGGGTGAGGAAACCAAGGGAGCGAGAACGAGAGGTTTCTCAAAGAAAAAGGATGTAAAGAGACTGAGAAAGCTCATAGGAAAGGTTGATGTAACAGTTTCAAAGAGGAAAAACAGGCGAAGAAGATAAGAGAGGCTGAGAGATCGGATGGTGAGGAGATGTCTTTCTCAGCTTTACCACACTGACAGATGAAAGTGGTACACCGAACACACCAGCAGCATTAACGGAGGAAGGAATGGAACAGTCCAAACACCTAAATCTGCTTGCTGTCACTGTTACTGGATGATTAAACAACTTAAGACTATGCACACTGCATAAGGTTTCTTTTTTTGACAGACACAATTTCAAAAGATATTTTCAAAAAGTAGGATAATACAGTGAAAATGACACAAGTTTAAAACAATATATCAACCGTACAAAAAGCTATACAAATTCCAGTGGAGATTTTTAATATTGCTGGCGTTCTGGGGCAATTCCAAATTCTCCATGACTCATTTCCTGTGTCATTTTCATCTGTTTTCAATAAATAACGGGACACTGTTAATTAAAGCAGCGGAAATACACTCAAGTGAGCACTGTCCCAGACAATTTAGATAAGTGCATTTTCTGCGTCTGACACTGATTTAGTCCAAGCCTCAGAAATATCAAATAAAGTTAATTGGACGGGGGAAAGTAGCTGCGGCCTGGCAGTGCCAAGGCTATGATTGGACTCTTGGAGCAACATTTTCCAAGCCTCACAGAAAATAAGTGCTGATGGAGGATAACTGACCACTTCCCCTTGACCATCTCTTCCATAAAGATAGTGAGATAGATGCAAACACTGTATACTGTGTGCTGCATTTGCAGCACTGGCTCCAAATGTTTCCTTCATAATTTCAGCCTTTTGAATCTAAGATGGAAAACCTAATTTTTAATTACTCCTCTTACACAGTGTAGTCTTACCCAAGTCTGGTGTTCATATAGGACAATAACTGGGATACATATGTGAAGTGACATATTTTTATCCTTTAGGATTATACTTTTTAGTGGCTATTTGCTGTGTTTATTTGTTTTTATTCCTCTTATGGAGGTTTGGAGTAACTATTTTTATACATGATAAAGGAACATGTATAGGAAACAAGTATCAAGGTATAGGGAATCCACACATCTCTATCAGTTTCTGTCTCTACAAGATATTTTGGTCAAATATTTCCAAGGAATGGAGAAAGTTGCCCTTAAAAAGCAAAAACGTATAAAAAAGATTAAAAGCACGCACGCGCGTGCGCACACACACACACACACACACACACACAAGATCAGTTTCCATAGAGTTTAAGGCCCACGGTACCGTGCATAAGGATATGCGTGCCTAAACACCTCCCTGCATGTCTGCTCATCAGCCACTTCTTGTGCTTGCCAGCATCTGTTCATGCATGCCTGCTTATGTACATGCATCTACTGCACACAAGTGTAAGCTGGAGTGTGTGTGTGTACCTGTCAGGTGAGTAGTTATCTTCTGACACACTGTGGTGGTCCACTCTAGTGGAGGAGCTGTACTGAGAAGGCCTAAGGTCAAAGGCCGGGTCAAGACTTCTGCTGTGTGACAGAAGTGGACTGGATCACCCCTCATGTAGTTTAGACACTACACACTGCCCCCTACTGGCCAGGGGGCACATCGCCTCATGTTTATGTGAGGCATTTAAAGTAATCCCACAAAGGGGTGATGTGACATTTGGGTGGCAGTGCAAGGACAGCAGCACTTAGTACTCCACCCAAATGGGTGACTAATTTCAAATTCCCAATTTCCAGAGCAACCTGAAGTAGCATTTTGTTCACCTAAGTTACTAAAGCATATATAACCTTTCATATATCAGAATTGTGTGGATCCCGGAGCAGGGTGATTAAGGCATCCTTCTACAACATGCATTTGGTCATAAAGGGTGTTAAATACATTCATATCAAAAACAAAACACATTGTGTACCCAGAAATAAAGGGTCAGCCCAGTGGTGGACTGAGCATTTGATACCTGGAGGGTGGGGGAACGCTGGGAGAGCGTGACCGCGCCCGGTTAATATCAGCCGACCGAGAGCAGTGGTTGGACGACATCACCTGCTCAGGGACAGACAGTGTGGAGCTCTGGAAGTCTCTGCCATTTGGTCGGTAGTCTGTGGAGACAAGAATGGATAAAGGACAGGAGGGTTGGAGGGACAAAGTTAAGAGGGTGAGACTTTTAGTTTTACCAGCTTGTGAATTCATTGTATTTTATAGTGAAAGAGTTAAATCTGCAGCATCTGATAATAAAAAATGATGACTGCTAATGATGCAGATCGAGTTTAACTGCACACTGTGTTAACTTAGAAGAAACAGAGCAAACTTTATAAAATATATGCTAAATGCCAATCTGCACAGGCACAGATTTTCTATTCTCATTATGCTGAGTCTCTATATTCCAAAAATGAGGACTGGATTTCAATAAAGGTGCAGTTCATCTGCTGTGTTAACATTGTGCATTAAACATGAAAATAGCCTTTAAAAAATCAAAAATATTATAATGAATTTTCTCTGCAAGACTGATTAGTCCATTGAACTTGAAAGAGTTCATTAACCGATAATCAGACATGGCTAGCAGCCATGGTTAAGGTCAATGCTTAGCACTATTAAAGTTGATTGATATTCATTAGAGTGTATAGCACATTAAAATGAGTTAAAGAAAACCCAAATCAAAAGTTGGAAAAGAAGGAAAGGTAGGAAAAATTGGAGGTAATGATAAAGAAATGTTCCTTCACTTGAGGAAATTTGACTTATTAATATCATAAGATTTTTCTTTTTGATGGGAGGTAATTGTGCATAATAGTTGGAATAAATCTATTAAAATATGTCAAACTAAATGATCCATCCTGATTTAAAGTGGATGCAAGTAAAATTATGAAATTCTGAATAGTACATTGCTACATATTGTACTTCTACCAATTTTATACAGATTTTAATTGCTTTTATATCTAAAAACAAGAACAAAATTAGCAATGTATTTCCTTCAGTATTACGCATATTATATTTAACAAGAAAAATATCTGCCATTTCTAAACAGTAGTTCCAACACTGAACCTCCTTCAGCTCAGCATGGAATCAACTTGCAGAGCCAAATCATAACTATTCTTTGTCTTGAAATGCTGCTTCTTGCATTAACACAGTCGGCCTGTTAAGCACATATAAAAGAACCTTCATTGACATTTAATAGGATTCAAAAAGAGGAGTGGGCTGCACCTGTGCAGAAGTAGTGAACAGGACACAGAAATGTGCAAATGACTTGTCACTTCTTAAGTTTCATTGCATCAAAATTTTTGAAAGACAGGATTACATAAGCATAACCTGTGCAGTAATTACTAGTGTTCACTGAAAATGCCTGTTGTACTTTATGTACCAAACAATTATATAAATAATATAATAAGTGTACAGTAAAATGAAATGCACTGAAATGTTTTTCTTCTCCACTTGAAAGAGATAGTGTCAGCAGTTTAATGTAAAGACGGCAGGATAATCTGAGTAAAGGGAAAGGTGCGACCAGAGCTGAGCGAAGGGGTATTCCCTTCACTGTGAATGAAGTGAGGGGGACTGGCATGGTGAGGCAGTAAGGGGCTGATGAGAATGTTAAAGAGGTTGGAGGAGGATTTCCCTCAGCTACGGTATCATGGGCAAGCCCAGGCTGATGCTCTTCACCTCTCTGTCTGTCTCCCTCCAATGCATTTCCTCTCTAATGTCTCTCATTTGTCTCCTCTCTTCTTCTCTTTGGCCTGTATCTGCTAATAGGGAGGTGAAGCATTGCAACATGCTAAACCGACAGTGCAGGCAGCTGCCTCCATCCTGCAATTTACCAGCAGCTTTACTGCAAACAAGGTCGGCACAATTTCTTTGGTCTTCAAGTGAGAGAAAAAAAGAGGGATGACATTTATAAAAGAGGTTAGCAAAGAACATACAGCTTGCCAAAATTATCTTTTGCATGAGAAAACTAAAGCAAACCTTTTTATATATGGCGTTGCTACCTATCTTAGTACCACTTTCTTCAAGGATGATCTTATATGTGGCCAAATTTCGAAGTACTTTTCTGTCTTTCTTTCTGCCTTTTTCTCTGTCTGGCAACAGCTCTGCTTCTCCTTTTCTAAAAATGCAGCGTGGGCGTGCTGCTGGAGCCTCGGTGAGTACAGCAGAACAGCAACTAGCAGTGCAGAGGCAGACAAAATCTCAGTGCTCCCTCACTGTGCTGCTGTTGCTGCTGGTGGGCTGCAGCATTTTACCCTGCTAATATGATATATAACAGTATTTGTAAGCTGTTCCAGGCCTAGGGAGCATTTGACGGATGGTGAAATGCAGGAGGTTAGATAAGTTCAGGGCCAAAGCAAATAAACATAAAATTCCAAAAATGATAATATGGCCTGGTGAAACATCCAGCAAACACTAAACTATTTGTAAGTGTGTACCTACAGACTGACTCTTTGCCATTTTGTTTTTAAGATTTAATTCACTTCTATTGCCAATTAATTCACTCACATGCACTAATAAGTCTTGCATGTTAATATGACCTTAATATATTACCTGTTATTACCCCGACACCATCTTCGCAATCGTAGTCTGAGATCTCACTGTCACTTATTCTCTGGGATCCTTTGAGAGGAAGAGACAGAGAGAAACACGGGAAAACAGGGGAGAGAGAAGAGGGCACAGGATTGAATGAGAAGAGAAAGAGAGAGATGGAGAAATAGGGAGAAGAGGGGGAAGTCATTTTCATTCGCTTGTTCATTTATCCGTCCATTTTTTAGCATTATGACTCCCAGGTCTGAATGTAATTGGTTAAACTGAAGGTTCTAACTGAATCCATCAAGATGTACACACAATGACTGCACTGTCAGTAACTCATGCCACACAGCACCCCACAAATACAACAAACAGTTTTGGATAATATATACAAGCTGCATTTCACTCAACTTCAACAAAATCAGCAGATCTTTTGTCATCTGAACTGTGGCACTTTTAAATGACACATTCAATCATTCAATTTACATGTGAATGAGGGGTTAGTAGAAGTGATATGGCTTTACAGCTATTTCTTCATCTTCCCAGTAGCCTTATCACCCCTCCCTGTCCCCTCTCTTTAAAGTATGACCCCCTCCTTGCAGCCCCCCCACCGCCTTCACCATTCAGTCAACTTAAATCAACTGGACACGTGTGCTTTATCAGAAATGACAAGTGCTGCACTCTGGCAGTGCCGCTCCCAACCTTTCATCTCAGTTGGCTGGAGACTTTTTACAGCTGTCAGCTCTTTCACCTCACACTAACACAACGCCCAGAAAATCATCCTGGTGGGGGAAGCGAGCAAGCCTTAAGTGTCTAGTAACCCAAACTACAGTAAGCGTGTAAGCCAGTATCTGGTCAGAGAATGCAACAGTGGGGAGAGAAGGGCCATAACATGAGCTATTTTGGGGTTTGGTTAGAAAATAATGTATTATGCATAAAGATAATCACAGGGTTCTTTACACTACCACTGTTTTAGAAGATTAAGAATAGTAAACAAAGTATCACACCAGCAACAGTGTCATCTACTGTAACCTATGACAATTTCAAAAACATATTCACATTCAAGACACACAAATACAAGCAAAGCAGATTGGGCTGCAAAGTTTGCCAAAAGTTATTTTGTGCACTTTTAAAAGGGTAAATAACGGGCAAAATGTATACATCACAGAGGAATAGCAAGTGGTCAAATTCAAAGTATATTGTGTCTGCCAGGACTGGCAGATAGCCTGGGGTTTTATATCTTTATACTTTGGGATGAGGATCGAGTGCAGTTTTGCAGGATATGGTTGTGGGTTGCAGGATGGGATTCTGAGATAGTTCACAGGTGAATACACAGAGAGGGAGAGACCACTGTGTCCTAAATCTCTGTTTCCCTGGAGCGTGCACATGTCTGATACCCTAAGTGGATTTCAAATAAGTGGTGTAAAGTTTACACCAGCTCAACACATTGAAATCTGTGCAAGGCGGCAGAAACATGCACCCTTCGTGGAAAAAGGGGGTGAGAATTAGGGCACCAGGATGCATCTTTGAAGAGGACAGGAGAACACTCAGATGCTCCATAGAGCAGCACTGCCTGTGAGTGCAGGGGGCCTTTACCTGAGTTGTATGAATATGAGCCTTTGTCTGTAAAAGCAGAAGTAGTAAGGTTGATGTGACATGATGACAAAGACAAAACATACATAAACTACAAGGGCTGTTAAAAGCTTAAATAAACTTAAGGAGAAGAGAAAACCAGTGGGCAAAATGGCTAAAACTGAACAAAGGTATACTGTACTTGGTGGCTTATTTGTAAATTATTGCAAATTACAGTTATTTTATAATTTTGGAAAAATTTACCTAACTTGGATGTAATATATTAAGAGTAGTAACGTAATTGTAAATGTTAAGTGGCATCAGCTTATTGATAAAGACTAGAGGGATGTTACTGACTTGTCCACAGTTGCAAACATCATGTAAAAAAAAAAAAAACATCTGTCCTGGCTCTTATAGGCGTCTTATAAACAGTATATTTGTCTTTGAAATTTTTAGGGTGGCCACTTTCACTCTCTCTTTACTTTAAATTTCAAGATATTCTGTCATATCAGTGACAGAGGGGTTACATACTCTGCAGCCGCCGCGTTGGACTCTCTCCATGGAGCTGCCTGCGCTGTGCATTCGGGGAGGCACGTGGGAGCGGGATGGAGGACACATCGTGGGTTTGTAGCTTGTACCAGTGTGGCTCGTCATCTAGAAGAGCTGTCTCCAGCTCAATAAGGATCTGCGAGAGGAAAAGGGATGTCTCTCACATCACAAAATCTCCTCACTCCAATGGTTCCATAGTAACAGTTTTTTTCAGGGATAGAATTACAGCATGACACAATACACACACGTACTACAATACTCTCATACAGTGAGTATCTCTCCCAAACAACCCCATCCCTCTTGTCAAAGTCTATTCATTTATCACAACAGTTTTACACAATGCAATACACAACAACATCAAAGCTCCATGGACAAGGACTGGACCACCAAAACCTTGTAATGGTAAGAGCTTTGTTAGGGGCTTTACGTTAATAATGCTGTCAGTGAGTGTCCATGATGGGTGGGGTTTGGTTTCCTTACCTCTCCCAGGAATTCGCTCTCCTCCTCCCTCACCCTGGCCTGGTCCCACAATGTGATCTCCAGCATGCGCTCCCGAAACTCCCGCCGGTGCACCGGCGAATACATAAAGGTCTGGTTCCATTTGGGCTCTAAGGATTTCTTTACCGTTTTTGTTCTTCTCTTGCTTTTGTCGCTGGAGGAACAATAATTCAAACTGTTTTTATTTACAACCATGATAGAAAAGAGCCACGAATACAACAGATCAATAACACGACACAGCACAGAGCACATCACCGTGGCATGCTGTTGATGAGATTGAGATGGCAGGATGACTGTACTATTGCCTGAAAATGTCCACTTCCTGCATCAGTGCATAAGAAGGAACTGCTTAACAATATACAAAACTGCACTGAATGACCAAAAACAATAATTCGACACAACCACATATATCCATATAGCTTTTCCTGATGCTAACTGCTAAAAACATTTGACACATAATTTTGTGACATCACATCAGTCAAAAATCCACACAAATACAGAATTTTTTCGGTCCACTAATTTCCTCCTGAATAGAGTGAAACTGACATCATCTGAACATTATATGAGTGTGGTGTGTAAAATAAGCACATGGTAATGGTAACTGTCTCTACTCTTACCTTCTATCAGGGAGGAAGTAGATTTTGACATAAGGGTTCCTGGGCCGGCCGTCTTCCCTGGGTGGCAGGTCTTTGGCGCCCAGGATGGTGACGATTAGCTGATGGCCCACTTTGTCATACCACAGTTTGACCTGCAGGGGAAGAGCAGAGACAGCCTTGTGAGAGACTGGTCAGGGCCGACAGGAGTACACAGAGGGACTAATGCAGGAGAAGACAGCTTCATCAAATTAGAAGTAAAGTTATCACATGTGCCTTTGTGTCTTCTTTTATTGAGGCCTATCGCATTTCTACTGTTTTTGAATACAGCATAAGGTCTTCTCCTGTATTTACCCTTCAGAGAAAAGCAGAAATATGTCTACCTGCTGATGATGTCAGGTCACATGCTTGGCAGTGGAATTTATCAGAGCTTAAGTGCTCATTAAAACATGGACTCAGTGTATCAGTGTTCATATGGTAGGATAAAGATAGAAATGTCAAAATAAGATATTCAAATATGATATTTTAGTCTCTATGGTTAAAGAGAGTAATGAAAATGTGTTCTTTTTTTAGTTATGTGCATGGTGCCATTCTTATTATATATACATAATCATTGTGGGTTACTTTTAATGTAAAGTGTTTTAAAATCTATGTGTTTATGTTTGTAGTTAAAAACTTCCCCTACAGGGATGAATAAAGTTTACTGAATGCAGTAGGCTGAATGTCATTTTGACTAAAGTGAATTGAAGTGGAATGCTAAAGGCAACATGCTCTAAAATTAAAACAGTGTGCTCTGTTGAAATGATACCGTCTACCAGTGATGATGTTGTCTCTAATAATGTTCTCTCAGATATTCAATGGGCATTGACATGGAGAAATCAATCATGCTGTTGCGAGAGGAATCAAAGACAGTTCACACTAAAAGGGAAGTATGGACTCCAAAAGAAGACACTTAGAAGAAGAAAAAAAATCCAACTGAGGCCTTAAAGAAAGTAGATGAAATGAGAAATAAAACTTCTAAGCTTTTGTCCATACTTCTTTAAAAATATGATCATGGAAAGGGTCTGCACCATTTAAAACTACCACCTATACATGCAGCAACGCAAGAGAGAGCATTCAAGACAAGTCAAGAGATTTCATATAGGCAGTGAGCAGAGTGCTTATGGGAAAACAAATTGTACCAAATAACTTCTAAACTTCTAGCCAAAATTCCAGATACTGCAAAAGATTAATTTACTGTTCTGTCCTTAAATTGGTAAAACATCTCAAGATTCATAATGATTATATTATGTGTGATAGTAAACGTGGTTTGAATTACTCAGATATACAAACAGAAGTGGCTTTACAATGCGTCAATCTAATAATTAATTAACTGAAACATACATTTCTTTCAAAGAGTACACACATGAAAACACACACTGGAAAAAATCCACCTTTTTAACTCCCTGTCATGTGTTTTGACCCCTCTAAATTAAAAAAAACCCACAATATTATATTAATATTATATAATAATATTCTTTCATCAGATCTATGTGAGGTATTTAGAGAGTACCCTTAAGCAAAACAACATCCTGTAACAGTGTCAGCAAAATAAATATCCCCCCAAAAAATATCCAAGAAACCTTCAAGTGTTAACCTGCAAGCTAACTGAATCAAGAATACAGAAAGTGATTCTGCTGTGTGTCGTAAAACAAAAAACACAAAAAGACAGACCGATATTAAAGATGACAGATTAAAAGAGACCCTCGGAGCAAAGCAAAGCTGTCAGAACTTTGCTCGGTTTATAGTTTGTTATTTGGAAGGTACAATTTGCTTATACGCTAACTCTCATCTGGAAGGGAAAATGCTATTTGGTTTCCAACACAAGACGGTGACTTGGTATCTTTTCACTGTAACATGAAACTGCAGACCCATCAACCATAAGCTGCTAATAAACATCGCTTCAACTCGCACATGGAGGAGTTCTCCTGTAGATGTGTGTTGGGTTCGAGTTATCAAGGACTGGGTTCATGTCACACTGAAGCAGAAAATAACCCAAGTCTTTTGTCCTAAAAAGCTCAGGGAGACACCCTCCTGCATTGCCAAGAATCCAATATGTAGGACATAAGGTAGGGTCAATTACTGGTGTCAAATCAGGCAATGAAAGAGTGTCTCCTAAAATGTGTTCAGATTAGTTGAGCATGCACTACCTAGGAATAATGATGTGAATGGGTTAAAATGAGCAATAAGAACTTTCATCATAACAGTGATACTAAGAAATCAAATTGAAGAAAATGACACAATGCACTGAACTGAGAGGGAAACTTGAAGCTGCCATTTCCCCAAGAATGCATTTTCCAAAGTATGGAAACAGAAAAAGGCCAGTCAACAGTCAATGAGCAAAGACCAAATAGAGATTGTGCCCTTCAGACAGGGCCCATTACCTGGACCCTAGGGGCAAAAGGCGTTGTTCTTCTACTAAGGCTTTGGCTCTGGATAAGCAAAATTAAACAGCAAAAAACAAAGAAAACAAAAGAAAATGCAATAAAACCAAAACCCCACAAAACAACAACAAAAACTCACAATACACAAATTTGTAGTTTCAGATGGGAGATTTAGGCCAGTGGGTTCATTCATACTTTACTTTCTCACCTTTCACTTAAAACTTGGCATCACTGCTTTGTTTGTCCCTGAGCTTCTCTACTCTGTTCTCTCTTTCTACTCTGGACCTTTTCTCCTCCGCTTCAAAGCTTGCCTCACAGTGATGGTAAACCATTTGTTAAATCATTATAAACACAATATAAATACTGCTCCAAAAATATCATACAGTTCTTTACTGTCTAGAATTACTCATCAAACACTGCAGAAGGTTTATTCAATAAACTCAACTGTTTCAGTTATCAGTTGTTTTTGAATTTCAAGGTCAGTCGCTTCAAATAAACGTAGAATATAAGAACCATCTGTTCAAGATTTGGTGTTTGCAGAATTAAGTGCTTATTTCTAATTGGCTGTAATAGTGTTACGGTGTCAATGTGAGTCAAATTACTCTACAGTTCATTATAGCTGTTGGAAACAGCCTGTTTTCCTGATATAACACAAGCTAAAAATACTTGAAAATAGTCAAATTTTAAGATCATGAAGATTGGTAGTGCCTAATGTCAGTCAAACACAACTATTTCTCATAAATATCGATGTTACCCAAAACATGTCCTGGAGGTGTAACCTAGATACTAAAGCTATTTCCCCTGTGGGTCCTAAATTTGAGAGTTGATTTATCTTTTACTTTAATGCAGCCCTTTACCCATTTACCCCAGGAGGGTTTTTATACTAGATAATGGACAACACACACAGTAACCTGATCTACAATCCTGCGCTGGGTTGGTAAAGGGCCAGCTGAAGGGGCAGAGTGAGAGAACCTGTGTCGGGTAGGCCAACGGTTTCAACCAGGATTTAAATTATACTTTGAGTTGAATAATAAATGTAAACAGCACATTCCAAAATATAGTCATTTGGACTCAATAACTCTTAACCTATCTTAGGTTACTTACTTACGTTTTCAACAGTGGCAAAACAATGTACATGTACATGTAGTCTGTATGTCATGCTTAGGTCACTCACTGAGAGCTGTCCTGACAGGTACTGGGGGGCGTCCCTCAGCATGCTGGGACTCATGGGGGACGTGACGGAGATGGACGGGCGATCCATCTTCTGAGACTCAAAAGAACTCGAACCTGACAAGGCACAGACAACACAGTCAGATTATTTATTAGTGACGTTGGTTTTAGTAACATGAAGAGATAAAAGAGAGAAGAGGGGGATGGTAGTAAGAAGGATAGAAAGACATAGTAGAAAGACATAGACAAGAAGAGAGACACAAAGAGGGCAAGGAAGCATACCATGTGAAAGACAGAAATACAGAGTGACAGAAGCAACTCTCAGACATTTCCTTCACTTGATGTTTCTAGGCTGATTAATGGGATAATGAAATAGGCTGAAGATCTTGACAAGACTCACTTGATTCCAGTTGTGCATGTGTGCTGTCTGGTATCCTTGGAATATCTCTGAAAACAAAAAAAAGAGCGTGAGTGTGTGAGACAGGAGAGAAGGAGGGGACGGAAAGGATCAATTTGAGCTAATGCTGACTGCACTGTGCTTTAATGACCGTAAGCACCGCATTAGTCTTCATTCACCCAGCAGCTCCCTCAGCAGCACAAAGCAGGTAAGATATAGGAATTGACAAAGCAAAGGTGCTGCTGTTTTTCCTAACTATTAACCCTTTCGAAAACAATTGGTGGAGAGAGTACAAGTGAGGTGGCAGGTTTTCATTTTGCCGAGCGATGTTGTTTAGTCCCATACGAGGCCCGGGCCAACCCTGAGCTAGAGCCGGTGGGAGCAAGGAACAGATGTTGAATAAACAAGTCGGCACTACTCGTTCACAAACACATTCTGTGAGAACACGAGCTATATTCCCTCTTGGATTTCACGTTTCAAGTCTCCATATTATAGAGATTTCAATCCAAAGCTATTCTGAGAAATGCAGGCAGTGACGTGGCATGAATGAGCATATCGACATAAGAACTGTAATTGCTTTTGAGAAAAAATATCAATAAAAGTGACGTAAAAACAGTCTCATGCATAATTCCTGCTTGAAATGGTTTCTGTTTGGGACATGCATGTTGTTCTTTAATCCGGTTTCTGCAGGTTTCAACAGGTTACATTTAAGACATTTTAAGATTATGATTAATGCAATTTAAGACCTTTTTTAAGTCCATACTGGCAAACAAAAAGGAAACTTTATTTGTTTTGTTTTGTGGTTGTTACATGCGAGAAAAACAAATCAAAAATCAGGCCTGAAAATTCAACTTTATACAAGTAACATTAAATTCATTATTCCAATTCATTCTGATTGACTGAATCACATCTGAAGCTATTTTGAAATTCTTGAAAAGCCACACATTTGATTGCATAACTGTTTAACTAATGTTAAAAAGATGCCTTGGCACTAGCTACTTGGCAGAAGAAAAGCATCTACTTTTATTAATAAATGTATCCCTTCCATCCGATTATTTCTTTTTCAGGGTCACTAAGGCCTGTAAACTATCCCAGTGTTCACTTGGTAAAAGGCAGGTAGACACTCTGGACAGGACCTAGTCCTGAAATTACTTATAAAAAATAAAAGATTTAAACCATAATTTAATTATCTAATTAATTCCTCCTTGTGCCTAACACCACTGTCATCCAGTGCATCTTAATGCTCAATAACCTCCGACCCAAACTGTCTTGTGAAGTGTATGTAGTGTGTGTGACAGTGACTGTGAGCTCTCACCCTATAGGCCGTGAGACCACCAGCTCCACTTGCGGCTCAGGCTTAGATTCTAGTATGATATTGTAAACTTCTTTAAATGTGGCTCCTTGTAAAAGCTTCCCATTCCACTCCAGCACCTGGTCACCTGTGAAAACACCAGAGATACTCAATGTCACATGGAATATTTTAATCTTTGATGCGAGTGCTGTCTGTGTGCTTGCAGTGAAATACACATCATTATTCACCTCCAGAGCATACTGAACACAACCAAATCCACTCCATTTAATGTCTATATAAAAGTGTGTGTGTGTGTGTGTGTGTGTGTGTGTGTGTGTGTGTGTGTGTGTGTGTGTGTGTGTCTGTGTTTTAATACCTGGTCTGAGGTGTCCAACAGTGTCTGCTAGACTTCCTTTCCTCACTTTAGTGATAAAAGCACAAAGTCTACCAGATTCTGTCATCTTGCCTCCCACCACCTGTAGAAGCAGAGAGGTGACTGGATTAGCACGGAAATACATGTTTAAACTAAACTTGAACTGTTAGTGTTATTATAACTGCTGCCTTATTGTGTCATGCTAACTCTTCATGACAAAGCCTACAAAGCTGTATCATGTGCACTGCAGTTTGTAGAAGAACACTGATTTTTTTGTCATGGCTTTAGCTTTTGCCTGCAAGGTCTGAATCCTCAATAAAAGCATTACAAGGAGGGGGTCAATGGTAGAAGTGCGTCTCTGTTTTTGTGCTTTTTTTAAATGTCCAGGGCTGTGCTTTCTTCCCCAGGAACACACTCTGGTGCTGTTCTGTGATTCTGTAACAGTGCAGGCCTGTGGGCTAGAGCTGTACTGTACAGTCCTGAGCTGCTGTACTCCACTCTGCTCAGCTTACATGGGCATCATACAAATAAAAATCCCTCTTAATGGCAGCTGAATGCCAACATACAAAGAAGCTTAGGGAAGTCTGCTAAATGAAATGGCTTTATGTAACAGGCAGGAGCCAGAGAAGGAGGCTTGCAGAGGAAAAGAGAGAGAGAGAGATAGACAGTGAGGGCGAGGCTGGCAGCCTGACTGATGGACTGACTGGCTGGATTGCCGAGTTGGTTGGCTGCTGCTGAGCGGACAGAAACGCACAGAGGCAATGAGCAGACACAAACATGCCATTTCAGGAGGTTCATTCAATCAGTAATGATTTTTCCCCATCTTGCCACTCTCTGTTCTCTCTCTTCATGGCCCAGCATGCTCCTTGGGACTTTGGTTGCTCAGCTTTTTTAACCAGTGTGCACCACCTACAGATTTATGCAACCGTGAAAAGGGAAGGGAAACCAGAGCATTTACAACAAGAGAAAATCTTTTATACACTTTGGTCAATGTAGTGACTATAGTGCAATAACAAACTGACTTAAAGGTTTAAATCTTGTGAAGCAAGAAGATGACCTAAAGGAAGTAACTTATACAGATCAGTATAATAAGAAAAACACACACAGCAAGAATAACATTTAAATATGTAGGTAACTGTGATAGTATTATTCATCATGTAAACACAACAATAATAACTTGCAATAACTGTGCAAAACAAATAATATTTCATCTGGCAAATGTGGGCATTGACATTACTGACAGGATCTGGACTGACTTGCTGAATGCAGTTCATTAAAGTACTTAAATGTGAGTGAGTTCAGAAAATTATACAGCTCAATATAAAACGCTTCTCATTAATATTCATCAGGAACATAATCAAGTCTTTAATGAATATTAATACTGAGTAGCACTATGGTGTAATCAATAATTGGAAGTCAGGGAGAAAATCAGTGAGCCACACACACAAAAAAAGAGGCTAAAATTAGTAGAATTCACAGCTGAAAAGTTATTATACCATATATTAACATAAATGTTCAAAAAACACAACACTGAAAGTCACCTGTACCTGTCACACTTCCCCAAAATTCCTGTGTACGATGTTGATATCAACTGAATATTACCAACATATAACATGCTATATTGGAAGTAGAATGAGGAGGCTACAGCTGGAAGGAAATGTTCAGTATGTTCAGTCGATGTTTGCTTGCATCATCCCTTCAGACACAGACAGACAGGTAGACAGAGTCATTATGAGCTCACCTTCAGACCAAGCAGAGCTCCTGAGTCTCGAGGCACGCTTCCATCTTTCATGCGCTTATTGAGTAAAATACGCCCTATTAGGCGATCCCCATCTTTGGATGGCTGCCACGTCACCGGGTGCTACAAGGTCAGAGCAACAACACACCTTTTGTTTAACAACTCATCCACTCAAATTTGATTACTTCAGACCAAAGCAGACAGCTGTCCATAGTGAAAAGGGGGGCATGGGCAAAGTATTTATTCACTCAGGGAAGAAAGTTCACACAAACTCTGTTGACTCATCAAGGTTGTTTAATTTTTTACATAGCAACATGCTTAATGATTTAAATTTTAAAAGATAGAATACTAAATGCCTAAACTGATCGTGGACAACACAATAGTGTTGAATGTTTTTTCCAGAGCTTGTGTGAACCTGCCAGTGTGAGGGTGGAGTGAGCTTCATGCAGCGCCCCATGCAGAGTAAAGCAAGCAGCCCCAACACTCTTCCTCAAACCAGCTCTTCAAACTGGAGCAGGAAGACCGGAGCCTCACTCCGATGCTTCACTACACACAAACATACAACCACCATCAAGTGGAGTAGTGAGGGGAAAGCAGACAGCGAAAAGGGGGAAAAAAGGTCAAGATACAAGAACAAATGAAGTGAACCATGAGGTGCCAGTTCAGAGATCAAAAGGGATGAAATATAGACAGCACAGAATAAAGCCATGACACACTGATAGGGTGAAATCACAGACGCGCAGTGAAAGGGAAAAAAGAAAAACAAATGTTTTGATTTTTTGTGCAAAACAAATCCAGTCTTCCCTGTTTTGTGTGCTTACAATCATTTGGGTTTTCCTATAAAAGTGAGTGGAAAGTTGGGCAGGGGGCGGGTTCTGTCTGGACTGGGTGCTGTGGGGTAGGGCAGCAGAGTGACAGGGACGGGCCTGAGTAAAAGTGTTCTAACTGCACTAAACAGGACCGCTGCAGAGCAAGAACACAACATACGGAGGAGAACGAGCATGCAACTAGGAGAGACCCACATTCCTGTGTGCCATGACAAACAGAGAGGTTGTGTGTCAATGCTCTTCTTTTACAACTACTGTAAGATGTGTAGCTTCTGTTTGGGGAGCAAAACAGCAAGTACAAGTACAAGTAGCAAGCAAAGAGGGTGCCCCCAAAAGACTTTTTCGGCAACACCGAGCAAGGTGGAGCCAAAACCGAAAAACAAAAAGGAACGAAATCGCAAGAGAAATCAATTTATACAACGTCAAATAAAATCCAAAAAACAAACATCTCACCTATTTACACTTAGTGACAAAGAGCAAACAAAGACTGGATGGGTAGGTCATAAATAATAATAACAAAATGCAGGCTAGATTGTCTCAGTACCTTCTCACTATGGCTATGCTCCTCGTTTAGGGTAGTGCTACTGCACGTATCAACTCCCGAGTCTTTAACCTGCGGTTCACACCATGCCAAGTCCTCTTCAAATGAGTGTCCCCCAAAGCGCACCATTTTCTTTTGCCTCTCAGATAAGGTGTGTGTCGGCTCGGACATAAATGTCTGCTCAATAGTTTTTCTTTTTCCCCTTTGACTGTCCCCTACAGGTGTGGGATAAAAACAGAAAGAAAAACAGAAAAACAACATGCAAAGGTATAAATAAAACGAAGGAAACATGAAATGACAAAAGACTCTGGGAGAAGGGAGGGATGGGGGGAGGAGAAAGACAGAGAGAAGGGAGAGAGAGATGGGGGTTAAGGGGCAGGAGGGGTGGGGGGGGCGGGGTCAAGGCAGGGCTCCACATGTCTCACCAAAGACATTGGGGAGGCCTCGCTGCTATGCCAAGACGCATGGTCCCACCAATGGCCATCCAAATCTCCTGTAAGGTGGGGGGAAAGGGCGTACATACACAAGAGAGGACAGCAAGAGGGACCAGTGAGGACACCACAAACCACAACATACAGACATTAACAGATACACAAACACGTGATACACATACAAGACTTCCCACATTCATTTATGCACACACACACACACACACACACACACACACACACACACACACACACACACACACACACCCGCTCTCACATACTGCTTAAACTCAAAAGGTGATCATCATGTGCAACTATAAGATCACTGTGGAGAAAGACAGATTCAGCTCAGGTAATAACAACAGAAAGGATCAATAATGATTTGACCAGCGCAACAATGTACAGTAAGGGAAGGACACAAGCCTGCATTCTCTGCCACTTCTCAGTTGTGACATTCATGACAATATATTTTCTCCTCCTCTTTTCCCTGTCTTTCCTACAGGACTTAGATTCAATCCGTGTACCCGTGTAAAGATAATGACAACATGCAAACTCAACACAGACAGGACCAGAAACTAAATTATCATAATACTGTTCCCATTATAGCTCTCCAATTAAGAATACATTGTATTATATTTCAACCTCTATGGGGCTCAGCACTGCGTTTCACATTTAAATGACAATGAATTTGATTTATTATGAAACATGTTGTATTGCTTTACAATACCTAAGAATATTGCTTTGAAGTAAAGGACCTGGTCTTTCAGGACATCATTTTAATCCAGTAATTAACCTTTTTATATGTGGAACCTGACTCTGGATGAGGAATTAACAAAATTAGTTTTATGGGAAATGTGGGCTTCATTTTGAGAAAACTACCACTAATCCCACTCTCATATGATACTGGCTATCAATCATCACAAACATAAACACTTTTGTGGAATAAAAAATTTTACCTTATCGGGAAAAGTAGCCATGGTACCTTTTTTTACACAGCAAATGCCCAATTTTTAATGAGTGTAACGATTGCTTTGGCCATCATCTACTCACTAAAAGCCAAGATGCATCAAGACCTGGGTGGCTTACCACAAAAAACGTTTACTGGGACCCTAATGGCCACTTGCCATGCAATATGTTTTCCATATATTCGTTTAAAGGTGCAGGTTTGTATTATACAAATGCAATCAGAGAGGAGTATTTGTCCAAAATAATGCTATTATTCACTCTTCTCTCTACTGGAACATTATTAAAACCTTTAAAAAGTCTTTGGTAGGACCCCACCTGTAAGTTCAAATCCGCAGACAACTCACATTTTGTTTAAACAAAGTTAGCATGCTGCTATCTTATCTTACAGTAGCTGCATCTGTAGGAGGGAGCAGGGCAGACCTCTAATGTGTTTAACTGGGGATTCAGATTGCAGTGCCACGCAGCCTTAACTGACCTCAATCTAAAGTGCACCAGGGAGAGCTTTTAAAGATGAGGCTCTGATTACAACTTCTGTAGTAGCACCAGTGGACACACAGCCTTGATAAATACAGGCTGGGCAAGACTAGTGGCTCTGATTATATTACACTTATTTTCTTATTTTTTTATTTTTGCATCAATCCAGCTGAAGGGTTAGGGAGGAACTGATGGTGGTTAGACCCCTCAGTGAGGGGAATCCAAACCTGCATGACCATATGCAAAACCAACTTTGTCATTCTTTGTCATTCATGCCCTGTTTTCCCACATGGATGCACAGAGCAGAGAGATGGAGAGCTATTTTAGTTTGATTAAAAGGCTTAAAAATCCAAGCTAATTAGAAAGAGTGAAAAATATTGAATCCGAAGGTGGTGCTAAAATTCCCAAGAACAGTAGTAACAGAGGTAAAGAGGACTGAAAGTTGAGGTTGTCCAAAGATAGAGAAAAATCATTTCAGTTGTCAGAGAGATACTGCTGTCTGACTGCTGAGAATCTGGTCATTTCTTTGTCCTGAGACCTTAATGGGTAGTGTACGCCTGCATTTAACACCCCATTATGTAGAGGTAATGGGCATTTAAATATTATTCGCTTACACTGGCAAGTCATTTTACAATTCAGTTGTGAATTCAGTTGTGAATTAAGAAATGGTCTCAATGAAATTGCCCTCATAAAAGGATGAGGTATGGTCATTTAAACAATACAGAAACCTTGTATTGGTGCTGACAGGCATTAAGTAGATCCTGGTCTTCTTCTTGTACATGTGTTGTTGTTGTTGATACAATTGTGTGCTTGCATGAATGTACGTAGCAGTAGTGAACCTTAGGGCCGCAGGCATAGGTAAGGTCATCTGAAAACACTGCACTTGTGCAACCTCTGGGCCATATACATCACAGTTACCACACTTCACTTCCCCTGCAAAGAGCTGTAGAACCTAATGGACCTATACAGGACAGGCCTCCTTCAGGCATTATCTGGCTAAGGATTCAATCTCAGGAAAATCAGGGAACTCTGATGGAAAGGCATAAAAATAGACTCCATATGCTTCTAGATGTAGAGGAGGAGGTGATGGGGGGGCTGGAGCATACAAGGGTAAAGAGGAAGTGATTTTCAATATAGAAAAAAGATGCTGCATGGAAGAAGAGTGCTGTGTAAAGATATTGCCACTGTGAATAAATATAGCCACATCTTCAAGTCTTCTAACAATATGAAAATATGCACACAGCTGACGCAGAAGAGGTTTATTATTATTTTAGTCTTATATGCAAAGCTTTGTCCATTGTTACTCACTGTATTGTGATATTGCTGTATTCAAGTAATTGCTGATACAGGTTCTTGTTTACAACCTGACAACAGTTTAGCCATATTACCAAAAACAACCTAATTAAAGTCAAAAAGGGAGCACAACTGAAGTTCAGCATGATTATTAGCTATAGGAATGATGGCCAAAACTATAAAATAATACTTTGTTTATAAGTTATAATAAATTGGAATATCCTTTAATAAACCAATGTTTTGTGTTGATTGATTGATGCTTCAGCATATTTTTAGAAGCATTGTTTTTGCAAATTGGGACATAGTTTTGGATATTTTTTCAACAGAAGTGGTCCATTTGTATCTTTTACAATGTTAATTATTATATTGTACTTCTTTGGGGTGGTGTCAGCATTATTGCCCTTTGTTATTTTGATTGCGTTTCAACACAGTACTTTAATTAATATTAATAGCCATATCCATACCTGCCAAAGTGAAATGTTCTCCAATGACATATTTCACACTTACAATTATCTTCAGAGTTGTGACAAAGCTGCAAGGTCAGTCTGCGCCAAACAAACGTTCCTCCTTCCCTCTCTCCCTCTCCTCTAACTATCCATCCATCGGTCTAGAATGCTAAAACTACTTACTGTACACAGTTATGCACTGTGATAAAAAAAAATTATGAATGTCCCCAGACAGGCTTTGCCCTCTGTGGCCCTCTAACCAACAGCTGACAACAGTGATTACCCTCTTTGCCTCCCAGCTGCTATTCTGTCGGCAGCATAAACACCAGAGCCCAGTTCAGCGTGGTAGACACTCTCATTGAACAAGTCACTTGCCTAATGTGGCCATGATAGTCCAAACAGCTTAAGGCCTGCATTTATGATCGGGGGAGGAAGAAGCATCATATGAAACATCATGTAAATCACCTTATGTTGAATGATTATTTGTCTATTTTGGAGCTATACATAGACTAAATTTAGATGCTATATATAGCTCACATGCAGAGGTGCATGTGCTTCCTCCCATCACACTCCTCCCCCCGACCCCTGCCCTTTCCCGAGTCCACCCTCAATGTCTGTCAAAAAGAATCTGAGTGGGCGCCTGCATGGAGGTATGTACAGCCTTTCCCCTTTCTTTCCCCCGAAGCTTTATTACCAGTGGCACGCCACAATTGGGCACTGATCCCCAGCGAAGCACTGTGTGGTTTTCAGGGAGCAGGAAACTCATCACGGCCATAAATTGTGAGCATCAGCAGTCTGCACCCAGCCCTGCCGTTTCGCCCCGACTCCAAAGCCCTGCAAAGTGCTGATTCAGGGCAAAGACAGAGCGCAGGCAGTGGCGGAGTTCACCACCAGCAGGCTCTCCATCAATTTGACAGCTCAATAAAAACCAGTGTAAACTATTAATTGGATCATTAATTATTGATGCTGTTTTTACTACAATTCAAGGGGCGAGAGCAGAAAAGAGGCAGGGGTGAAACTGTGTATGTTTAAACATAGCCACCATGCTAGGAAGGTAATACAGTGTCATGTTAAACCTCTGGGGGAGGCAGATCTTAAACTTAAACTTATATTCTAAAACAATTCTATTATTAAGCACAAAACACAGTATTTATTAAAAGGTATAAAAGGTCAAATTAATAAGAAGATTTTTTTAATATCTAGCTTGAGAGCGCAAACTTGACAGCAAACCCTTACTGAGGTGCAAAAACTGATCCCAAAAGCCATTAATGAGGATGTAAGTTAGGCTGTCAATTCACAATGTCCACCTATCTGCTGTAGTTAGCCAACCAGCCTCTGCTTTTCTGTCTGTTCGGCACTATTATGAGACTGCATGTCAGGGGAATCAATAAAGAAGAAAACACAGGGAGAGGACCATCGTGATAAATCAGTCTCCAGCGCTCGCAGGCACGAGTCAGGCCCATTACAGCTGGCACACCCTCCCTCTCCTACAGTCCCCCCCCTGGTCTCCCCTTCTTCTCATCCCATCAAGCACTCCTCCTCCCTCAGCGGCCCCCTCAGGGTATTAGCGATTTGAGAGCATGACATGCACCCTGTTTGGCCTGCTGTTACACACCCATCTCCTAGCCCAGTCAAGCTGAGTGCACAAACCCCAAGACGCTGATGGGCCACATATGGCCAAAAGGTGCTTTCTGCCCTCTTTTTCATCTCTGGCCTCACATACAATTACAGTTGATGTTCTTTGCTTAGCTGTTTTTTTAGCTGTTCTCACTCCTGGTGAGGCAAAACACTCTCTTCAGTAGCTAATCAAAGAGTGCTTGGTTTGCATGTTATAGTACATGCAGGGAGATGACTAGACTGGGTCAGCTTTTGAGAGTGAAAATGGATGTAAATCATGATCCATGTCCTTTTAGGAGCATTTAAAACACATTTGCAACCTGGTTCAGCTACAATACATCTATGGCATTTACACAGTCATGCTGAACTTGTTCCATTTGTAAACTCTATGTACTGCCAAAACTGATTTTTCTTTGCTGTTATTATATTTCAGAGTACAGACCTGACTGTATTATATGAGGTTTTTATTGATTATATTAATACACTCCAGAATGCCACATGTCCAAATCTGGGGCCTAGAGTTTGGATCCCCTCTCTGCTGTCTGTTACATAATCAAGTCTACTTTGACATAGTGCAAACAAGGACACTCTGGTCTAAAATATATGGTTCAATGCTACTGAACCATTTATCAGACTCCCCGCAATGCACCATATCACAGTAGCCTTAGTTAGATAATAAATTAATGAAACTGCCAATTATACCTAAATAACGACCAAAGATAGCTCGTCATAATCAGCAGTCCGAGGATGTTCTGTAACTAGTATGGAAAGCTATACTTATTCAGGTCAACAATTCAACTCTTTGCTTTGTTTTTCCTCTGTCTCCCTACACAGGCTGACCTGTGGAGGAGGCAGACAGAAGCAGACAGAAACAACAGAAACTCTGACCCTCAAAACAGCCTGCTTTTCTCCCTATTTTTGTTCCATGGCTACCTGTAAACCAGGAAACTCCCACATCAATAATGTAGTGCCGGTGCTGGGCTGCTTCCTTTCGTGAGGAGAACAGTTACATAACAGAGCAGACCAACCGAATTCCTCCCCTCTTTTCTAGTCTAAACATTTGGAGTATGTGGCAGACACTTGGTCTAGTGCTACTTACAAAAGCAAACTGTGCTACTGTACCTTCCTCCTTCCCATCTTTTATTCTTCCATTTGCCAAATCTGCCTCCTCCTTTCTTCGTGTTTAGTACTTTTAACATTTCTAAGGTAAAGGCCTCCGTAATTACAGGTTTGACAACAAAATCCATTTGCAATTACGACAACTGTCAACCAGGTGGAGCAGTCAAGAAGGTAACAGCCTAAACAATTGCTTTTGATGTTGATTCTATGCAAAGTGGCATTTAATTCAGTCACTCTGACTGTTTGCTTGCCAGTGCGTGTTTATAGACTTGGACAAGTGCGCTTGTGTCTCCAAGCAGGTAGGACATTTGCCACGAGCAATCTGATGTCCATTTCTATTTAAACAGCAGGACAGGCCAGGCTGAGCCAATACTTAGCATGCCACCTCAATTAGGTACACTGCAGTAAACTGGACCCACTGTGTGAAGACATAATTCACATTATTATTTTAATGTTTACACAACAAGAAACAATAAAATCAACAGCAGAATATGCAGTGAAAAACCCTAGAACTACTGTTCGGTATAGGGGTCCATAAACCAAGACATGATATACCTTTTTTCAGGGTTTCAGCAGGTTTCAACAGGTTCAATTTAAGGCGTTTTAAGACCTTTTTAAGACCATTATAAATTCAATATTTATATTAGATTTTCAAGTGTGAAGAATATGAGGAAAATCGTTTTTGTTGTTGTTTCATTTTGTAGTTGTTGCAGCCTGATCAATACACATTTTTTCATCACTTTATACAGGTATGGTTAACTTAATTAATCCAATACATTTTTAAGACATTGCAAAATCATATTTAAGATGTTTCAAGAAATAATAAATCCCAGAATTAAGGTTACTGGATTTTGTACTTTTAAGACCCCGCAGAACCCCAACCCCAGAACTCCCTTCCCCACTGGACTGAAACATAATCCAATTTTAATTTAATGGGCCACTGTACCAGGAGTAACATCAACAGTGTGGTAACAAAACAGAATGGGAGTCAAGAAGTCAAGGCTAACGGAAGATACTGCAGGAAAACCTATAGTCACCCTCTGCTCTTCTGCTGCCTTTTGATAATAACATCCACCAATTCATATGCTGCAGTGATGACATAAAACTACTGAATAAAATACACTGCAATTGTTACTATCTCAGCTCACCTTGGTCCACTAGACACCCACACCCTCTCCCTGCTTCCCTCTGTCTGTTAGTTATGTAACAGCGTCCATTAGAACAGACTGATCGTGTAAAACAGCTGTGGTAGGACCTGGCAAAGTGTTCCATAAGATAATCGCAAAAGAAGAGGGCCTTGAGAGCAGTAGCTTTACATCCATTCAAATCTCAGTCACACACATAAACACCCAGCCACACCGAAACATATCTGACAGGTTCATGAGCGCATAAGCCTCCTCCTCGAAGGCACGTGAGCTGTTAAGAGTAGATTCATAGATAACACACATAAAATGCAATAGTGCTTTGCACATACGTAGGGCTCATTGTTTTCAGTTTCTGAAGATTTTTCCTGAGAATGCTGGGATTTTAGAAAAGAAGAATATCATTTTAAATCAATGTTACCACATCCATCAAACACTGTTGTGTTTTCTGATGAAAGAACTCACTGTTCATCACAGTTTATAATAAAGAAGTTATTTCAAGAAGTGCTAAGCTCAGAAAATGAAGAGATAATACAAATGAGCAGCTGATTATGCACCAAAGTCACTTTAAAGAAAAAAATATTTAACTGTAAATCTAAAAAATAAAAACATTTTTTCCCCCAGATTTTTGTAGCACTGATCTCAGCGGTTCTATCTAAAAAACACAGATATATTCAAAGATTTTTTTTTCTCGAAAATAATGAGCCCTACACATACAAATACACATATAAATACATACAAACATACAAAGCACATATAGAGACTGTAGACTGGGGAATCTGAAGGTTATATCTGAGTTAACAGCTGCAACAATCACTATCAACACGAGATGGCAACAATAATTACATTATAATTAAATTAAATCTGTCTTTCCTGACAACAACATTATGTGAGTAATACTAGAAAAGGATGGCTTTATAATTGCATGAAAAAGCATCTGAGAAATGTGCATTTATACTAAGTAACACTAAATAAAGTTAAACACTGAGACAGTAGCAGAAAGAGAGTAGACTGAGTGAGATTGTTGGTGTGTGTGGCCCCTACCTTTCTCACTGACTGACTCACTCTCTATCTCCACATCCTCACAGCTGGTGTACTCTGGTGTGGTGGCCAGCTCCTCCTCCGAGCTGCTCAGCGACACCTGCCGCATCTTTCCTCCCTTTTTGGTTTTGTGGGGCTTCGGGGGCGGCGGGCGCACAGACTCTGACTGGTCCGAGCTGAGAGAGTCGTTCCTCAACATGCTCTCCATCTTCTCCCTCTTGGTCTTGCGGACAGCTGAACTGGGGTCCAAGTGGTGTTGCTGCCTCCTCATGGGATCCCCACCCAGGTCACCTCTCCGCAGGTCACCAGATCGGTCACCCAACACAGGGCTACGGTGCGGCGTTGGGGGGCTGTGGTTAGATGTTCTGTGGCCTCCGAGGCCGGGACCCATTGGCCCAGGGGAGGAGCGGTCGACGGAGTAGGAGCGCTGTCCCACCATAGGCGGCCGGCGCTCGGTGAGATGCTGACGGGAAAGCCGGATGGGGCCTGGTTCATCCTGCTCCGTGTAGGCCAGGGAGACATCACTATGGCGCCGTTCGTGCCTCAGGCGTCCCACCTCAGCATGCATCCTCATCTGCTCCTCGTAGGGCTGTGGCTTAACAGGATAGCGTGCCAGGTTGGGGTCGCTGCGATAGCGCGTCTGGAATTCCTCCTGCCGCTGCCGCTGGAGGTCGTACTCGCTGGGTGGTCCATCTAGCTCCTGGTCCAGCGGGTATTCCTGGGAGTGCCAGCGTCCCGGGCCCCGCCGGTCCCGGTAGCCCATCCGTGCCGCATCCACATCTGGGTACATGTGTGGGCCCCGCGGAGCCCGCCGAGGGTCCCCATCCCCATAGTCAGACGGTGATCTGGGCATGCCGCCGTCCGTCGGGGCATACTGTGAGTGGTCGCCCCCCTCCCTTTGGTCGTATTTTTGGTTTGGATCCCTGGATGCAGATGGGCTTCGTTTCCTGTAGATAAAGGAGAGGGGAACAAAAGATCGGAATTTAGTTGTTGGTTCACACTGAACTGGATGTTCTCTGATTTGGTTAATATATTGTATATATATATATGGCTTATTTCTGAGTGCAATAAAAATCATGTGTGAAAAAGAACTGAGGTTTGGTTTGTGTGTGCGTGTTGATACTTGCTTAATTAAATTTCCATATAGAGTGTCTGCCTGTGTGCCGGAAATGTGAGGTATCAGTCAGGCATTAGCCTCACAGGGCTTCATAACACATCTCTGTATAACTCTGCTGAGGCTGATGCCTTCAGTCTGTAGTCTATAGCTTCACTTTACTTTGCCCTGCACTGCGTAGGCTTCAGTCCCTGTCAAAACCTGATGAAAGCCTGCTCCGTCTCTGTCACACACACACACACACACACACACATACACAGAAAGAGAGAGAGAAATGGGACTAAGCAGCAGGATGCAGCACCACTCCCTCGTCTCACTGCAATAGACTCTATATTTATCTATAAAATGATTTTTCAGGAAGTATGTGTAAGGAAAACATACTTCTTGAAATTACCTAATTAAATATGACGTGTAACACATGTAGCTTTGCAACCTGCATTCTCCACACGAAAACAGGAATTCACATTAAAAAAAGAATGCAGTTAAATTCCTCTTTTGGTTATTTAATTTGATTAAGAAGGTTGCACACACTTCACACAGACAATTTTGTATCTAATATTTGACTCTTTTAGTGCCATAGGCAATCTTTCATTTTCACTGTGATAGCAGCTGATTACTTTGTTGATATAGGTGCTTAAATCATCATCATTTGCAATGCATTATAAACAACAGGATGAAACAAGATTAACAACACAGCCTGCCTGGATATGACCTGTTTGTATTTCCAAATTAATAGTGTAAGTGTGTTGTGTGTGTGTGTGTGTGTGTGTGTGTGTGTGTGTGTGTGTGTGTGTGTGTGTGTGTGTGTGTGTGTGTGCGTGCGCAAGGGGGAGAAGGATGAGGAACCAGACAGTGTACTGAGAATAGTGCACTGATAAATGATTCAGAGTTTCACAGATTGCATCTGTATGCACAGTACAATGGACATGAAGGGCTGTAGAGAGCCAATAACAATGTGGCTGACTTCTGTCTGGATTTATTAAGCTCAGGGAAAGGTGCCCATTAATTTATCACTTTTTCCCTTCTGGTGAAACCATCAAAATGTTAGAACTTACTAAACGTTAAAATACTTAGCAAGGGTATACAGTAAAATCACAACTCATACCTTTTGTTTCAAACATCGTCTGAAATCATATGTCCTGGTCTTGATAAAATATATCAGTCCTCTTTGTTACAAGTAGTAAAATTAATGTAAAAAGTTATGTTGTAAATCACGTGATAATAACTTGCTAAGATGGATATTTTGGTATGGTATGGTTACAGTCAGGAGCCCCATATTTCTAAAATCAGCTATCAATCATTTTATCATTGTCCGACTTTCAAAAAGGAAACCAGCCAGGAAGTAGATGAAAAGGCTGGATGAGGCTAACTGTGCATTAAGGCATTTATTCTTTTGTTGAGAATCAATTATTCATAAGCCACTTTTCTCCTACATTTCTCCCACTTTTCCTCCAAAATAATGACATTTTGGTGAGGAAAAAGCTCTGTGAAGCATCCCTTTAATTTTGTACGTGACAACTTTCCATAAATTTCAAAGGGCTTCATAAATCACTGCTGCCAGCCTTGCTCAGTGGCCAAGGTAAGGACTCCTCACATGATGATTGGCTGATTCACTGAACCACAGAGGAGGTTTGGTCTCTGCCTACTGGATCACAGACCATTGGGTTAGTCTGAGTATAATGAATGTACAGTACAATAGATATCAGCGCTGTGGTGAGGCACGTGGAAAAGATGCTTTTTGTGTTCTCTGTGTTGAATTTCTATGTTAAACACTGAATAATCTCACTAAAGTGAAGTGCCAGCCTTAAGGAAAGACAGAATGATGTATGAGTGCTATGTATAGTTCATGAACTACTGTACAGCTAAAATATGGGCTGTTACAGAGGGGCAGAAGTTGAGCAATAGTGTGGTACAAAATGTGCATTCCAGCAACACTGGTATATAAAGGCAAGATTTACTTGATAGCAGAGATGACATAATAACATAGTTGCATGGTCCAGTTACAGAAATATCCCCAAATATACCATACAGCAAACAGATACACATGCTACAGATTGAATGGTTTGTTGAATCTCAGCTTGAGACTGACTACTTAAACTTTTTTTAAAGCTGTACCTGAAGCTGTATTTTACCTACTGATCAAATGAAATGTATATGTGAAAGGGATTGCATGTTGTGATGAGAATTATCTCTTAACTGCGCAGTTCCCTTTAGCCCTGCAGCGCAAAAACGCTCTGAAAACCCCCTTTACTTACCAACTACCAAACTAAGTTAGAGACCAGCTAATAAACATAACGGAGCATCTAGCAGCTAAAGAGACAGATTTTTCCCTCAGAAGTTGGTGGAGAGCAAAAGAGAGCTAAAAGGAGAGTGAACACTGGACTGAAAACATGACTCCAAGTAAATGCTAATGTTGCTCCATGTGTGCTGGATAACTAAACAACTGTTTACTAACCTGTTCACCATAACAACAACAAGAGGATAATATGTCAGTGTTGTGTTTATAGCTTATTTTGCTGCCCCGAAATGGCCAGAAAAAATCCACTCATTCAAACAACTAAATCGTCTTTAAATATTATACTCACACATATATGTTTCATATTAAAACTATTAGACATATTAAAGAGAGAGAATATCATAACTGAATCAAAGGATTCCCTGCTAGCACTACTAACACTGAGAATGAATATGTTAATGTAGCTCTAGGCACTATACATTATCAGTCTGCCTATCAGGATGCCAGTGTGACCTGTTTCTGCAGCATGTATTGTGTAGTTAACAGTAGGCAAGAAGTGATGACTGCTACTGTAACTTTGTTTTGGAGTTTACTTTCTCCCCTTTAGCTTTTAATGCAGCTTTTCAAACAAAAATAATACTGATTCACTCAATAGCATTAATAAAAGTTTCTTTTTAGATTAGCCTTTGTAAATACCTGGTATAAGGAATGTTTTTCAAAAAAGAAAATGCCATCACCTACTACATTACTTCATCAACAGAAAGCTGGACATTATTAGCCACAAAGTGGTGGGCTGATGACTGATTTCTTGCAAATGGCGTGCAAAACAGCATTGTAGTGGAAACAAGCAGACAACAAAAACAAGTTTAATGGATGTGCACTTTAATGAACACATTCTTATTTACAACAAAGACCTAGAGGAAGTCTCTGTGATGCTGCTAGCTCACACAAGTGACCTCTCCTTCCTGCTTCACATCAAAACAAATGCCTCCAATCACCTTAGCATCCAAACACAGCCTCACTAGTGATTCAGATACGGCTGGAGGAATGCATGAGGGTTGCTGCATTATTCATGATTTGCTCCCGGACACTAACTGAGCAGCGCTTCATTCACAAATCCAAAGTGAAGCGGCAGCAGAAATTATATGCTGGAGTAGGGGACAGGCGGCGTGACTTGGATGGGAGCAAATGTAGAGTGGGGGATGGGCGAGTGTGTGATGAGCATGAGAAACATCTCTTTATAGTGACTTCATGATGATAGAGGGTCGGTGTTACGTGTGTGGGTGCACGTGTTCACATATGCATGCCTCTGCGTTTGTAGCTGTGTGTGTGTTTTATGTGTGCTGCACTGGCTGCTGCCAAAGAAATGCTTCACTTTGGCTCTCAGCATGTCCTCAGGGCTTCAGGCTAATGTCCCCTTTGGGATGTTGTCTTGAAATCTTACACCCTGAACACACACATGCACCCAGAACATGCGCACAGCAACTACAACAAACATTAACAAACTGCCCTTTGACGAGCTCTAACTCATCTTGACACAAGTATCACATTTCCCTGCTCCCGTTTAGCCTTGTATGTCCTTCCTGTCCAAACAGAGAAATGTCTATAGCAGCTAGCAAGCTAACAACGACACTCTGCTCCATCAGCATCTGCATCAACACTGTTGGCCCTAAACCTTCCCTATGTACAACAGAGAGGAGGTGCAGCACTAAATTTTGCACTGTGCATTATTCCCCCATTGCTCCAGCTGCCACTGTTACTGTAATAGCCTCTCTGCAGATACCTCTGAGCCCTCAACAGCTCTGCCATGACACACTCTGCTGATCTTAGATTTGCATTCCATCCTCAGTGACACAGACAGAGACAGAGAGGGGAGAGACAAAATGTGAAAAGGGAACAATGTGAATTAGAAGAAGCACAAAAAAAGGGAAGATGAGAGTTAACTGTGTCCTATAGCTAAACGTGCAGCTGGTGTGCATGGTGCATTCAGACACGCTTGTCAGGCTCATGCATAAAGTGGCAGGATGGGACACCATGGGATCGTGATGCTTGTAATTCTGCGCAGAAGCCTGCCTGCTGCAATGATCGAGTCACGAATTGCACAGTGACGTACTCCCTCCATCACATCCCTTTATATGGCAAGATACGTGTGTGATGTCACCATGGACATGGCACTGAGCTGCAGCAGAAGGCAGTGCGGTGTGCAGTAAATCAACCAGCAGTGGATCATCCTAACAGGCCAACAATAGAGAGGAATGTTCATTGTCTGCACGGTACAGTGTGGGAATACAGGCAAGAGCCGTTCTGTGCTATGGGAATAACAGCAGCCCTCGTTAATGCTGTTGTCCTATTCTGAGCTATCTATAGAAATCCTCTGCTGTGACAGTGTGTGAAGTATGAGGCCCTGTTCAGCTGATGACAAGGGCGGTGATGACGGTAAGATTGAATTCAGTGAGGCTGACAGTGGTCTCACTACATGAAGGACTTTTACGGGGAATAAAAAGATTCATGCACCTATGACAGATAGGATGGACATACTTTTGGGTCCAATTGCTGTAATTTCTGATATCTGTGTATGAAAAAGTATAATGAAAAGA